GGCCCAGCTATTGATCTAGAAACTCCAAACAACAGCTATCTTGAATCGGGCCAAACGAGCCAGAGGTAAAGATCAACACCCGAAACCTCACAAAACATAAACCACGAACACCACCCTTAATAATAGAATAATGACCTCCTCGGCCAGCACAGCTCCTAATCACCACCACATGAGTATAACACCCAAAGGTGACCCCAAGAAAGACAGACCCCCGGCCCCAGCTATTGATCTAGAAACTCCAAACAACAGCTATCTTGAATCGGGCCAAACGAGCCAGAGGTAAAGATCAACACCCGAAAGGACATTTTTTACTTTTTTTCTTATCAAAGGACATTTTTTTTCTTATTAGGGTTGTTTACATTCTGAATGAAATTTATTCAGTTTCAACTATTTAGTTTGAGCTAACGATCGTTAGGATTAACTTGTAGTCTAGAGTTTCAACTATTTAGTTTGAGCTCATTAGGGTTAACTTGTAGGCTAGACTTATTAGACTGCCAACTTGATTTTATTAATATAAATAACATACATGATTTTGTGTTAATTTTTTTTATATATATAAAAAATATATTATATCTCATTATTGAATATTCAATTATTTATTTTATTTTGAATTTTTTGCCATGTTAAGTTCTGTTATTTTGCTAATATTTTTTAAGAAAACATATAACAAAATTGCTCATTAATTAAAAATAAAGAGTGGTTATTAGGAAAGTGATTTAAAATTACTTTAATCTAGTCATATACATTGAAGCTTCAAACATGCCAATAATAAATACATTCAAGCTTAAAGTGAAGACATAATTAGTTGAGAATTTTTCAATCAAATTATCTGGTACATGTGGTAATTGAGGCTATTGAGCAGCTGCTACTGCAACAAGGGTGGGTACAAATGCCACACACTGTAAAACTTGATCAACACTGAACAGAAAACTTGGGAATTTTGTGAATCATCATCAAGTTACATAAAATAGAAAAGAAAAACAGTTATACTTATTTTCATTCTTCATAAAATATTCAATTGAACCTCATTTAGATATTTTTGGCCTATTGGTTAGACTTGTTAGTCTTCCAACTTGATATTATTAATATAAACAAGATTACAAGATTTATGTTATTTTCTTATAAAATAGAAAAAAATATTCAATCTATATATATATAACCTATTTACCAAAAATAACCTATTTATGGCATTTTATTGTAACAAGAATAGTAGCAAGAAAAGTAAACCAACATTTATGGCATTTTATTGTTGGCAATTTTTGATTTTTTTATTTAAAATTATTTTCAAAAATTGATCAACTATATATGCACCTTAAATTCATAGGTTTTGTGGATTTAATTTAGGTAAATTTTGATTGATGCTTACAATTTTGAAAAAATCAAAATTATTTCTCATTTTTTATTAAAAAAAATATGATTACCATAAAATCAATAATTTCGAACTAGGCAAAATACTATCACAAATATCTTTTACTAATTACAGCAGATCAGTTGTTTATTAAAAAAAACTCGAATTGCATAGAAATCAGGTTAATTTAGGCAAAATTTGGCATGACAATTTTGTAAAAGTCAAAATTCTCCATTTTTTATTAAAAAAAAAAAAAATTGTTTGCCATAAAATCGGGAATTTTGAATTAGGCAAAATACTATAACATGTATCTTTATAGATCTGTTTATTAAAAAAAATCGGATTGCATAGAAATCGGGCCTAATTTCAAATTGAAAATTAAAATTTAAAAATCCCTTATCATTTGGATACTATTTTCTTTAGTTCGATTTTTTTTTTAAACATAAAACTAAGTCATATAATATTAATTTGAAATTAATAATGAAATCTGATTAGAACATTCTAAAAATTTTGGTTTTGTTTAATCCTCTAGAATACTAATTTGAAATTGATTGCTACACTTATAAAATAAATAATGATTGCATACACTTACAAAATATCATATATATCCTGCTAAATAATTTAATTGATTTATTTAAGCTTCTCTAGAATCCTAATATAATTTGTGGCGATAGACAATGTACCAAAAGACCAAACAAATAATGTTGTATACAAGGATGTGTTTAAAATTATATAAGTTACATTTTGTGTTATTCCAATACATGTGTTTTACGTTCTTCCAATCATCCAAATCTAAATGCTTACCTTAATAAAACTAACCCGTTATTCCAATACATGTGTTTTACGTTCTTCCAATCATCCAATCATCGAAATCTAAATGCTTAACTTAATAAAACTAACTCGCATTGCACGGGTACCGCACTAGTTATTTATTTATTTGTCTTCTTTTATTTTATTTTTATGTCATGTTAAGTTTTGTTATTCTTCTATTACTTTAAGAAAACGTTTAAATAGAATTGCTCATTATTTAAAAATAAAGAGTGGTTATTAAGAAAGTGATTTAAAAATACTTTTATCTTGTCATATGCATTGATTGAAGCTTCAAAACATGCCAATAATATATACATTGAAGCTTAAACTCAAACTCAAGACAAAATTAGTTGAGAATTACTTGCTAGTAAATGAGCAGCTGCTACTACTGAAACAAGTGTGGGTACAAATGCCACTAAAACCTGAGCAACACTGAACATAACACTAGGCAGTTTATGAATCGTCATCATGTTACATACCCAATATTTCATCGTCTCACCTTCGCATGAAACAAAAGCAAGTCAAAATAGTTAATACAGAACTTGAGGAACATTAAGTTGTCGAAATAAGACATCACTCCTTACTACATAATACCATCTCAAGCCAATTACTCACTGGAAGGAAGTAAAGCTGACATGCATCGGATCCTCGCTCAAACAATGAAATCCTCTTAAGCGCTGGGAATTTCTTTTCCAGATCCTTACATTCATAAAATAGTTTCATCCTCTCCAATACTCGGGAATTCCTCAAAAGATATCTTACCATGTCGAGTGTATGCTCATTGAAAGCCATCCACTTAATATTTATGGTTCTTAGACATGATAATAGGCATTTAGGCACTTGTTCGGGCGCCGCACACAAATATCCCTCTTCATAATAAATCTGATCACACTAAAAGGAGCATAACAAAATGAGTAAAACAAAAGAAGGAGCTACTGCTGTAAGAAAAAACGAGAAACAACTAAAGACAAATTTAATCGAATCAGCGATAAACTCCACTTACTATAAGGACTTGAAGATTATCGGCAACTTCAAGGAACTTTACAAGCAAACCCCATTTTAAGTTCAATCGGACTTCAAGTTTGGTTAAATTATCAAACTTTACAGTTGAACAAGCAACTCCTCCATGAAGAAACTGAAAATATTAAAACCACTTTACGCATATATATAACAAGAAGCCGAAAACTAATTGACAGGAGGCCTTAGAGACTGAAGAATCAAAACAAATTACATACCTCGTCAAATTCCCAACCTGATATCGTTAGGCACCTTACATAACACAGAGAATGAAGAAACTTCGCCACGGAATTGCAATTTGTTTCGAGATCTGAGATCGAATAGTTTATTAAGCAGATATCCGCATCAACTAAGGAGATAATGGATATAGGAATTGTTATACATTCCAAGTCATAGTCATCCACTCGGAGATACCTAAGGGCCGGGGCATTTATTATCACCCTATATTCCCAGTGATACGAATTGTTAAAATCGATCTGAAGCATCTTTATCGTGGTCGATGATATATTTATGCAGCCCTCATAATCTTCATCTTCCTCAAACAAGAATCCCATTTTCAAATCCTCGAGCGACGGACAGCCGGAAAGAAAACGAGGAAGTGCATCATCATTCTCACATACAAGATTATGGACATAGAACTTCTTGAGGCTAGGCAGAGACACATTTTTCACAGCAGAGAGTGACGCTCTTTTGTTTTCAAGCTTCAAGTTGACAATGGTTTTGCAGTTGAAGAGGGACCGAGGGAATGTATCTAAGTCGAGTTGAAGATAAAGATTCCGGATACTACGGTCGATGGCGATCATAATCCATGTCTCCAGTTGATACTCGTTGCAATTGATGCAATCGAGTGTTAAAGTATCCATTATTTTTGCCTTGTGCAAAAATATAACCCTGTTGATGATGTCCGAGGCTTGTGTTCGTTTTTTCCTGAAATTGTCTCCACTGAAGTCCAAACAGGGTAGATGGGCCCATAGAAACCTCCATCTTTTTCCGAGAACGCTGGTCGCAACTGAGCACTTTGTCGGGAGGAAAGACAGAATGTAGCATATGACGACGTCCGGCAAGCTGCTGAGCCTATCGATTGAGGCCATGTTTTGCTTTCCATCCGAAAGCTTTGGGAACTTTCCACGCGATCGTCTTGATTTCCCCATGCAAATTCTACCAAAAAGCACCTGATTTTCACAACTTCAAACCAAGGCAGTAGTAGCATTCAGAGGGTACCAGGATTCAGATTATTGTCTGATGGGCAGGTTAATTCTAAGTCTAATGTGAAGAAGAAGATGAGACAAATATGAAAAAGGTTGAGAAATACAGTTAACAGTAGAGCATTTATATAGCAACTAATGTAGCTAAGAAGTCAGAAAAGGGGAAGAGAGAAACCTGAAACCTGAAGCCTAAGCACGGAGACTCTTGCAACTCCTATCGCCACATGCTACCGACAATACAATACAATACAAACACCAACTAAATAGAAACTACCAAACCCGTGGATAAGACGGGATATTTGGAACTGAAATATGAGCAGACAATTAAGGGTAGCCAAAACACATTTCTAAAAAGTGGCCTGGACAGTTCTGATAAAACATCACCATCTTCAAACTGAAAAACTACATCTTCACAAAGAAATATTTCCCTCTGATGTAAAAAAAAAAAGAGAAGACTCCTACAACACTAAAAGAACCGAAAGAATAAGATGAACAACTAATCCATATGAAGTGAGCCCTTCCTCTCATCCAAGGCTCAGACAACAATCTGGAACGGAAGTTCCTAAGAAATCTACTGGAAATCGACTCAAATTTCATCATCCGCCTCCTAGAATAGCTAAAATTCAGCAATGTAAGAGAAACCCATGTACCTATTCCCTTAAGCTTCCAACCTAGTTTACATGAATCATATTTAATTTTTTAGAAAATGTAGTAATTACCTTTAAAATTTGTAAGTGGAGTCAGAGGAGAGGCTTGGAGGCGGTGTCTCGAAGGCAGTGTCGGAGGCAACTCACAGTCTCAGGCGCGCGGAGGTGTCCGAGGCGAGACGAGGAGGTTTCGAGATAGAGAAATGAGACCGATATTTACATTATATATTATATNAAAGAAAATCAATTTAAATTAGTAATTATAAAACGTATTCTCAGAATACGTTTTACAATCCAATATAAAAAAAAATTGTAAAACGTATTCCTGGAATACGTTTTACAATTAAATAAATATAAAACGTATTATGAGAATACGTTTTACATTTAAATATATATAAAAAAAAAACTCTTCTTCTCCCTCACTTACGAGATAACAGAGAGCAGGAGCAGAAATAAAAAAAAAAATTGAGCGATTTTGAAGAGAGCTTCGGGGAAAAAAAAAACGCGATCCAATCCCTACTCGACGCGAATCGACAACAACGACACGATCCTCATTTTCGGTTAATTCATTCGCATAAGGTATATTGGCTTATCTCAACTTTTTGCATTGTTTGGAGTTGTTTGGAGATTGGGAATTGTTATAGTATGTTTAAAAATGGTGGTGTTTGAAGATTGACAATTGTTAATTGTTTATCGATTATGTGTATATGTTGAATTGGAGATTGGAATTTTGTTGTAAATTGTCAATTGTGTATGTTGAACTGGAGATTGGAATTTTATTGTAAATCAACAATTACAATCCGCTATCAGTTATTCTCTAATACAATCAGTTATCTGCTATCAACACGTGAGTATAAAATTTCCACAATAACTATACATACATACTGTTGGTATGCCTAATAAGTAATAACATCAATATAATTAGAATGTTATGAAAAAAAAAGAGCATTTTCATAATAGCATGTGAGTAAAAAATTTCCACAATAACTATACTTACAAACTGTTATATACCAACTGCTAGTCAAATTATATATTACAATCCACTGATAAAACCTAGTACTCCCTCCATTTTGAAATATAAGGCGTATAAAGATTTTTCAATTTTTTTGAAATATAAGGCGCGCTCAAAAATCAAGACAAATTTTTGCATTTTTTTCCAAATATACCCTCATTGTGTTGAAATTAAGAAAGTGTGGAGTGGTTGTGATTAGAGTAAATAAGGTTAATTTAGTCAATTTATTCATAATTAATGTCTCCTTAATATTTGTGCAACAACCTTAAATGCCTTATATTTCAAAATGGAGGGAATATCTGTTATCTGCTATTAGCTAATATCCGAACAATGTCTATATATTTTCAAGTAATTCGATTTATAACTGCAGATTTAAGTCTGCCATGGAGCAGCTGAGGGACACGATGCTTGCCGATGGAACATCACGACACGAAGACATCACAGATAGTCCTCGTAACACAATCCAAACATACCAAACACAACTTAGAAAAATAAGCGTTAACAATCCGAACGAACCAAATACCAATCCAGATCCTCCTATTACAATCTAAACAGAAAGCAAACTCACATTTGACCGACACTCGCTCGAACAACAGAATCCTCCTAACCGCGTCTAATTTCTCCCTACAACCGACTCGAAGGTGGTTAAAATATATCACCACTGCCATTAGAACTATGTCATTCCCCAAAAGAATGATGATCAAAAGCTTCATATAATCATGAAATCACTTATCATCAAATAAAAAACACATGATTTTCTTTTTATTTATTATTGTGGATGACGATCATGTTAGATTCATTCGAACACACAAAAATATCAAACAACATTTATATCTTGATTCTCAGAGTTATCCTATTAGATCGATTCACTAACTCTTATCTTAGTTACTCATTTACTCTTTCAGCAAATCTGGAGATCAAGGATTTTCAATGGGTTATTTGAAGGGCTGAAAGCATACAATCTAGTTATGAAATGTTCGCCACGAAAGCAGTACTAAATTTTGACAGAACATATAAAATACAGCAACAACGACAAAAGAATTATCAAACTTTGACAAAAGGATTAACCTAAATCTGGCAGGCACAGATTGGCAGCAGCAAAAGCTTGGGCGACAGACAATAACAGCTATGAGAGAGAGAGAGAGAGAGAGAGAGTTAAGGCAAACGGCAGATAATTGAACCAAATATCTCTAGATGTGATGTAGCTTAATAGCTTTATTGGCAATATTTTCTCCAGGTGCCCACTATCTGGTTGTTTGAGCCATATACCTCTAGATTATTTACTTTGTATAAACAGTACTTATAAAGTAAGAGGCCTAATCAAATGCAATGTGATGACCTTCAAGACTTTTGCGATGTTTGAGATATATTTCCATGGTCTTAATGTCTTCAAGATTGCGTGAAAAATACATTATTACTGTATAGAAGATTGTTGCAATAAAAACCTCAATAAAAATAAGAACTTTATGGATACCAGCACTTTCGAGTAATTTCAAAATAAAAATTTTATCAACAGCACATTCAGGATATAAATTCAATTGAATACGATATTAGTATATTTTACTTTGATCAGAAAAAAGTGATTCCATCGACAAACATCAGCATCAATAAAATACACAATTAGGCGTAAAAGTTCAAACATATACCTCCACATTCAATACTAAACTGGGTCAAATCAACCCACAAACACCCGCAATCTTCTAGCTCGAATGCTGCTTGAAACGAGTCGGATGACGTCCTTTGGAAAAGTGCAGTTCAGCATTGTGATCCTCAAGTGAGATGAGCAACAAAAGTTGATTTTTCCTACCAAAACAAAGCAATCTTGCCCATAAGCTATTGAGATAAAATGATATGCTAACTTGCATCAAATTCAATTGAAAAGATAACATTCCCCATTCCTTTTTCATAAAAAGAGAAAAGCCCAAAAATGAAAACGAAAAGTTATCAACCTTCAACAGAAAACAACCCCAACGAACAATCAATGCTCACAATACTTAAGAACACAGACATTGTTAACAAAAAAACCCAAAAATGAAAACGAAACGTAAGCATCCTTTAACCTAAAGCAACCTCAAGTCAACGCAGACATTTGTTTCAATCATTCAAAGAGAAAACAAAACAAAACCGAACAAAAAATATTAGGAAGGAAAGTTATGGATCTGTATATTTCTCGATGAAACAAATTGGATCTTGTCGAGCCCATGCTGAATATGTCTCCATCCTCTTGAAAGCTTGAGCCTGTTCAGAAATAAAACCGTACGACTTACAATTCTTCAGTTGAACAAATTCCGGCAGAGATAAACCAAAAAGGCACAAACTCCGGCGAGGACGCCGGTGGTCATGGAGGCCTCAGTTAGGAGAAAAGGGTCCCTCAGCTGTATATCAGTTTACCGTTGGGAAAATGGAAGAAAGGATTTATTAGTGGACCATGCCTAACATGGATATGGATATCGTTTTTTGAAAATTAGTAGTTCACCTACAAATCATATTTTTTATCTGTATATAACTATATATACTAAAAATTTTATTTTAATTATAAATATATTAATTGAGTAATTGTATATTTAAATTTATTTTTTATTTTTACTTGCAAATATACTAATTTTCGTGTCTGTGAATGATTTGTTTGTGATTTATTTTTATCATTATTTTAAAAATGCATTGTCTTTTTAGTTCATTAATCATCTATGAATAATTAATGTATGGTTTAGTTTCAAAAGATTATTGTATGACTTAATTTTGAATGTTGTATATTTATTAAAAAAAAAGTAGTAAATATGTCAAATGGCATTTTTTTATTAGTGTCGTTTAGTTTGAACTCGTTAGGACTAACCTGTTAATTAGACGTGTTAGTCTACCAATTTGATTTTATTAATAAAAATAAGATTACAAGATTTATGTTAATTTTTATAAAATAAAAAACTGTTATACTTATTTTCATTCTTTATAAAATATTCAATTATTTATTTATTTATTTATATATTTTTTTTTGTGTCATGTTAAGTGTTGTTATTTTGCTATTATTTTAAGAAAACGTGTAATAGAAGTGCCCAGTATATAGAAATAAAGAGAGTGGTCATTAAGAAAGTGATTTAAAAATGCTTTTATCTTGTCATGTTCATTGAAGTTTCAAAAGTGCCAATAATATATACATTGAAGCTTAAACTCAAACTCAAGACAAAATTAGTTGAGAATTACTTGCTAGTAAATGAGCAGCTGCTACTGAAACAATTGTAGGTACAAATGCCACTAAAACTTGAGCAACACTGAACATCTAACACTTGGGAGTTTATGAATCATCATCAAGTTACAAACCCAATATTTTCATCGTCTCAGTTGCACGAAACATAAGCAAGTCAAAATAGTTAATACAGAACTTGAGGAACATCAAGTTGTCGAAATCAAACATCAGTACTTACTACATAATAAGATCTCAAGCCAATCACCAGCAATCCGGAAGGAAGTCAAGCTGACATGCATCGGATCCTCGCTCAAACAATGAAATTCTCTTAAGCGCTTGGAAATTCTTTTCCAGATCAATACATTCATAAAATAGTTCCATCCTCTCCAGTGCTCGAGAATTCCTCAAAAGATATCTTACCATGTCGAATTCATGCTCATTGAAACGCATCGACTTAATTTTTATGGTTCTTAGACATGATAACATGCATTTAGGCACTTGCTCAGGCGCCGCACACAAATGCCCCTCTCCATAATAAACCTGATCACACTAAAAGGAGCATAACAAAATGAGTAAAACAAAAGAAGGAGCTATTGCTGTAAGAAAAACGAGAAACAACTAAAGACAAATTTAATTGCATCAACGATAAACTCCACTTACTATAAGGACTTGAAGATTATCAGCATCTCCAAGGAACTTTACAAGCAAACTCCATTTGAAGTCCAATAGGACTTCAAGTTTGGTTAAATTATCAAACTTTACAGTTGAACAAGCAACTTCTCCATGAACAAACTGAAAATATTAAAACCACATTATGCATATATATAACAACAAAGCCGAAACTAATTGATAGTGATATAACACCTTAGAGACTGAAGAATCAAAACATATTACATACCTTATCAAATACCTGACCTGATATCTTTAGACACTTTACATAACACAGAGAATGAAGAAACTTCACCACCATGGAATTGTAATTCGCTTTGAGATGTAAGGCCCGATAACTTTTCAAGCGGATATCCGCCTTAACTAAGGAGATCATGGTTATAGGAATTGTTATACACTCCAAGTCATAGTCATTCACTTGGAGATACCTAAGGGCCGGGGAATTTATTATCATCCTATAATCAAAGTGCAACGAATTTTTAAAAGCGATCTGAAGCATCATTATTGTGGGGGATGATATATTTATGCAGCCAACATAATCATAATTAGCTAAGAATATCATATTCAATATCCTGAGCGACGGACAGCCGGAAAGAAAACAAGGAAGTGCATCATCATTCTCGCATACAAGATTATGAACATATAACTTCTTGAGGCTAGGCAGAGACACATTTTTCACAGCAGAGAGTGACGCACTGTAGTTTTCAAGCTTCAACTTGACAATGGTTTTGCAGTTGAATAAGGATCGAGGGAATGTTTCGAATTTAAGTTTAAGATAAAGATTCCTGATACTACGGTCGATGGCTGTCGTAATCCATGTCTCCAGTTGATATTCGTTGCAGTTGAGGTCACAGAGTGTTAAAGTATCTAGTCTTTTTGCCTTGTGCCGAAATATAACCCTGTTGATGGTGTCCGAGGCTCGTATTCCTTTTTGCCTGACATTGTCTCCACTGAAATGCAAACAGGGTACATGGGCCCATAGGAACCTCCATCTTTTTCCGAGAATGCTGGTCGCCACTGAGCGCTTTGTCGGAAGGAAGGAGAGAATGTGGCATATGACGACGTCCGGCAAGCTACTGAGCCTATCGATTGAGGCCATGTTTTCCTCTCCATCCGAAAGCTTTGGGCACTTTCCACTCGATCGTCTTGATTTCTCCATGCAAATTCTGACAAAAGGCACCTGATTTTCACAACTTCAAACCAAGGCAGTAGTAGCATTCAGAGGGTATCAGTATTCAGATTATTGTCTGATGAGCAGTTTAATTCTAAGTCTAATGTGAAGAAGAAGATGAGACAAATATGAAAAAGGTTGAGAAATACAGTTAACATTAGAGCATTTATATAGCCACTAATGTAGCTAAGAAGTCAAAAAGGGGAATAGAGAAACCTGAAACCTGAAGCCTAAGCACGGAGACTCTTGCAACTCCTATCAACTCCTATCGCATCATGCTACCGACAACACAATACAAACACAAACTCAATATAAACGACCAAACCCATGGATAAGACAGGTATTTGGAACGGAAATATGAGCAGACAATTAACGGGCCAAAACACATTTCTAAAAAGTGGCCTGGACAGTTCTGATAAAACATCACCATCTTCAAACTGAAAAACTACATCTTCACAAAGAAATATTTCCCTCTGATGTAAAAAAAAGAACTGAAAAGAATAAGATGAACAACTAATCCATATGAAGTGAGCCCTTCCTCTCATCGAAGGCTCAGACAACAATCTGCAACGGAAGTTCCTAAGAAATCTACTGGAATCTACTCAAATTTCATCATCCACCTTCTAGAATAGCTAAAATTCAGCAATGTAAGAGAAACCCCTGTACCTATTCCCTTAAGCTTCCAACCTAGTTTACATGAACCATTTTTAATTTTTCAAAACAATGTAATAATTACCTTTAAAATTTGTAAGTGGAGTCGGAGGAGAGGCGTGGAGGCGGAATCCCGAAGGCAGTGTCGAAGGCGACTCACAGTCTCAGGCGACGCGTGGAGATGTCCGAGGCGAGACGAGGAGGTTTCGAGATAGACTAGAGAAACGAGACCAATATTTACCTTATTTATTGTATGTAAATATATGTTTTTTATACAAAAAGCTGGCAGGGTCGGGAGAGCGGGCCGAGGAGAGCCGGGATTTGGAAGGACCTGACCTGAAGGACACGTGTCTTTTTGATATTATTGGGCTTAATGGTTCAATTGGGCCACGTAGTTTGGCCTGGTTGTAGCAACAAATATTATCTAGCCCAATAATTAATTAAGATGATATGTATAAGGGTCTTGTAGTAAATTACATGTGATCGCATGATGAGTTATGTTTTGAGTGCATAGAAATGGAAGAAACATATTTCGAAGTACAAATACAATCTCTCCCTCTTCTCGTAAATAAATAGTAAATACACCACAATTATCATTTGAATACATAATCCCATCACCATCTTAATCTTCTTAGAAAGCAAAAACATAACAAACTTCAATGCTATATTTTCTGTACTATGAAATTAATTAGAATTTTTTATTTGATAAACATGAACATAAATTTTTCACAATAACCATACAAAATGTTATTTACCAAACTTTTGTTTACAAAACGATAATACAATCTGTTAGTCAAATAAACTGTCACAATTCACTAATAAAATATGTTATCAATTATTAGTGATCCGCTATCAACTAATAATCAAACCAGACCTATATTTTTAAGTAATTCAATTCATTGTTTAATTTTGATTTTTCTCTCAGATTCGAGTTATGGAGCAGCCGAGGGACACGATGCCAGTCGATGGAACATTACGACATAAAGACCTCACAAATCCTCGGGGCATAAGCTCTTACCACGTGTCGTCTTCGTGCATGTGGGACAGGCGGAACGTGGTTAGTGTGGGTGCTCTGCGTAGCAGCAGAACAAAGCTGGTGAATTTGGATGTAGTTATATCAGTGATTGTCTTTTAGAGGTAGAACATACTGATTTCCTTTAGAATTCCAAAGTGTCATCCTGATTATTTTCAATTGGCCAGTCTATGACTATATCAGAATGGTTTATTTTGTTATTTCTTTTTATCACTTATTTTTTATTTTGTTGCTCATTTAATTTTAAATGATTTATGTATGGTTTAATTTTTAATGTTGTATTTTAAAAATAAAAAATAAAAAGTGTAGGTAAAATGACCTTTTTTTTCTATAGTTCCTCTAATTTGGAATGAAATTATTTAGTTTCAATTGTTTAGCTTGAACTCGTTTTTTTAGTTCCAATTGTTTAGTTGGATTTTATTAGTATAAATAAGATTAAAAGATTTATGTTAATTTTTTATGTACAGAAAATAGTTTTACTTAATTTCGTTCATTATGAAATATACAATTATTTATTTTATATTTTTCGCCGTATCAAATTTTGTTATTTTGTTATTATTTTTAGGCAAACATATAATAGAATTGCTCATTATTTAAAAATAAAGATAACTAGTACGACACCCGTGTACTACACGGTTGTTTAAAAAAATATAAAACATAAAATAATAGAAAAAATACATATGTTGTTGTATAACTATTTCAACTCTTTAAAATATATTAGAAAGATCATATAATATTCTATAACTATTTCAATGTATTTTTATAGATATTCTAAAAATATTTAAATAATTTATTTATGGTTAGATTGAAAAGATATAGTATGCAAGTGGCTATATACTTTTTTGTAAAATTATAATATTTTTTTTTAAATTAAACTATATAAAAAAGTTATTGTTTACATTAATTATATAAATAAAATAATATATAAAGCTAATTTTTTTTTTATTTTGGTTTACACGACAAGATAAGAATGTTCGATAAGAATTTGGAGTTGGAAGATTTACACGGCATCTAAGAATCCTATTTAATGAGAGGGAATGTATTTCATTTTAAATAAGAATCCTATTTAATGAGGGAATGTATTTTATTTTAAATAATTAGGGAATGTATCCGAACTAAAAGCCGAAGCATGTATTTTTATTTTAAACAATTAGGGAATGTATCCGAATCAAAAGCCAAAGCATGTAATATTGCCAAGTAAGCTTCCGAAGCGTGCGAAGCAGAGGCTCAGCACGTTTTCAAATTATATTAAAAAGGGGATGGTTATAGGAAAGTATTTTAAAGATACTTTATGTCGTCATATACATTGATTGGTGCTTCAAAAACATGTTTATGTCGTCATATACATTGATTGGAGCTTCAAAACATGTTAATAATATATACATTGAAGCTTAAACTCAAGACAAAATTTGTTGAGTTGTCAATCAGTACTGGACATAAAACAAGGGTGGGTACATAACTACATATGCCACTAAAACAGTAAAACTTGAGCAACACTGAGGGAGTTTATGAATCATCATCATGTTACATTTTCGTCATCTCACAATTGCACGAAACATAAGCCAGAATTAGTTGCTACTAGACATGGCCAAAGGGTTCGCCCGGCCCGCCGACCCAGCCCAGACCTGGTATAGACCCGGCACGGATCCGGCTCGGTCAAACCCGTTGACCACGGGACCGGGACCGGTCCGGATTTCAGAAGAGCTGTGTAAGGGTCATTCGTTTCATGACTCGACCCGGAGGGTCAGGGCTGGGCCGGGTCGATGACCCTTCTTTTTAATTTTTTTGTTATTTTTTTATACTTTTTTTTTTAAAAAAACACAGACCCGGCCCGGCCCGGACACGAACCCGGCACGAGTATAGGTCCGTGCCGGTTCAGAGTTAGTGTTTTTCGAGCACCGCGACCCGGCGGGCCGGGCCGGGTCACGGGTTTTGGCCATGTCTAGTTGCTACATACTAAATCTCAAGTCCATGACTCAACAAACCTCAAACAATGAAATTCGAGGAACATTCAGCCGTTAAATAAGACCTGCGTCCAATCACTCAACAATCTTAATGGAAGACAAGCTGACATCCGATAGATACTTGCTCAAATAATGAAATTTTCTTAAGCGCTTGGAATTTGGTTTCCAGATCAATGCCTCCATGAGGTGACGTAAATAGTTCCATCCTCTCCAATACTCGAGAATTCCTCAAAAGATATCTTACCATGCCAAATTCATGCTCTTTGAACCGCATCCATGTAATTCTATAGTTCTTAGACTGGATAATAAGCATTTCGGCACTTGCTCGGGCTCCGGACATGAATCTCCCTTTTCAATATCCACCTGCTCACATTAAAAGGGGCATACCAAAATGAGTAAAACAAAAGAAGGAGCTATTGTTGTAAGATAAACGAAAACAACAAAAGACACATTTAATTGCATCAACGATAAACTCCACTTACAATAAGGACTTCAAGATTGTCAGCAATTTCAAGGAACTTTACAAGCAAACTCCATTTGAAGTTCAACTGGAGTTCAACTTCAAGTTTGGCTAAATTATCAAACTTTACAGTTGAACAAGCAACTCCTCTATGAACAAACTGAAAAAGTTAACACCACAGTACGAATATTATATATAACAACAAAGCTGAAAATTAATTGACAGGAGGCCTAAGAGTTTGAAGATTCAAAACATACCTTCTCAAATTCCCAACATGATATCTTTAGGCACTTCACATAACACAGAGAATGAAGAAACTTCACCTCCATCTCCATGGAATTGTCCTTTGTTTTGACATGTATGAACCAATATTTTTTCAAGCGGATATCCGCCTCAACTAAGGAGATCATGGTTATAGGAATTGTTATACACTCCAAAGCAAAAGCATAGCCATACACTTGAAGATACCTAAGTGCCTGGGCATTTATTATCATCCTATCTTTATATTCAAGGCTAGATGGACGAAACAAATGGTCAATATTGAGCTTAAGCGTCTTTATAGTGGGTGATGATATATTTATGCAGCCCACATAATCATATCCAAAGTGGATTGCCATATTCAACTCCTCGAGCGACAGATAGCCAGAAAGAAAGCGAGGAAGAGCATCATCATTCTCGCACACCACATTAGAAACATAAAACTTCTTGAGACTAGGCAGAGACACATTGTCCATAGCAGACAGTGACAGTAACGCTCTATAGAAATCAAGCTTCAAGTCGACAATGGTTTTGCAGTTGAAGATGTATCGAGGGAATGTATCCAAGTCAAGTTTAAGATAACCCGTTGCACTTAATGTGATAGAGTGTCAAAGTATCCATTCTTTTTGCCTTGTGCTGCAATATAACCATGTGGATGATGTTCGAGGCTTGTAATCCTTCTTCGAAATCGTAATCGAAATCGAAATCATCTGCACTGAACAAGGTACATGGCCCATAAAAACCTCCATCATTTTTCGAGAACAATGGTCGCCATTGAGAGTTTTGTCAGGAGAAAAGAGAGAATGTGGCATATGACGTCGTTCGGCAATCTGCTGAGCAGATAGATTGAGGCCATGTTTTCAGGCCCGACGACCCGCCGAACTGGGCAATGTCCTGGCCGGCCCGCCAAATGGCCATGTCTAATTAGGACTAATCAACAACTAACCTGTTGGTTAGACGTGTTAGTCTACCAAGATTTTATTAATATAAATAAGATTTCAAGATTTATGTTAATTGTTATATATAAAAAAACAGTTATACTTATTTTCATTATTTATTAAATATTTAATTATTTATTTTCTTGTCTTCTTTTATTTTTGTTTTTGTGTCATGTTAAGTTTTGTTATTATGCTATTACTTTAAGAAAACGTGTAATAGAAATGCTCGTTATTTAAAAATAAAGAGAGTGGTTATTAAGAAAGTGATTTAAAAATACTTTCATCTTGTCATATACATTGGATCTTCAAAACATGCCAATAATATACATTGACTGATTGAAGCTTAAACTCAAACTCAGGACAAAATTAGTTGAGAATTTACTTGCTAGTAAATGAGCAGCTGCTACGAAACAAGTGTGGGTACAAATGCCACTAAAACTTGAGCGACACTGAACATCATAACACTTGGGAGTTTATGAATCATCATCATGTTGCATACCCAATATTTCATAAACATAAGCAAGTCAAAATAGTTATTACATAACTTGAGGAACATTAAGTTGTCGAATGCAGACATCAGTATTTACTATATAATAAGAATACAGGCCAATCACTCAGCAATACGAAAGGAAGTCAAGCTGACATGCATCGGATCTTCGCTCAAACAATAAAATTCTCTCAAGCGCTTGGAAATTCGTTTTCAGATCATTACATATATAAAATAGTTCCATCCTCTCCAATACTCGAGAATTCCTCAAAAGATATCTTACCATGTCGAATTCATGCTGATTGAAAACCATCGACTTAATTTTTATGGTTTTTAGACATGATAACAGGCATTTAGGCACTTGTTCGGGTGCCGCACACAAATATCCCTTTCCATAATAAACCTGATCACACTAAAAGGAGCATAACAAAATGAGTAAAACAAAGAAGGAGCTACTGCTGTAAGAAATACGAGAAACAGCTAAAGACAAATTTAATTGCATCCATGATAACTCCACTTACTATAAGGACTTGAAGATTATCAGCAACTTCAAGGAACTTTACAAGCAAACTCCATTTGAAGTTCAACTGGACTTCAAGTTTAGTTAAATTATCAAACTTTACAGTTGACCAAGCAATTCCTCTATCTCCTCCATGAACAAACTGAAAATATTAAAGCCACATTATGCATATATATAATAACAAAGCCGAAAACTAATTGACAGGAGGCCCTAGAGACTGAAGAATCAAAACATATTACATACCTCGTCAAATTCCTAACCTGATATCTTCAGGCACTTTGCATAACACAGAGAATGAAGAAACTTCACCGTGGAATTGTAATTTGTTTTGAGATCTAACAAGGAATAATTTAGTAAGCAGATATCTGCATCAACTAAGGAGATCATGGTTATAGGAATTGTTATACACTCCAAGGCATACTCATCCACTCGGAGATACCTAAGTGCCGGGGCATTTATTATCATCCTACATTCAGGTATAGCCGGATCAAACTCATAGCTAACATAGAGCTTAAGAGTCTTTATTGTGGGTGATGATACATTTATGCAGCCCACATAATCATAATCAAACATGATTGCCATATTCAATTCCTCGAGCGACGGACAGCCGAAAAGAAAGTGAGGGAGGGCATCATCATTCTCACACACAACATTAGAAGAAACACGAAACTTCTTAAGGCTAGGCAGAGAGACATTGTCCACAGCCGAAAGTGACAATGTACTGATACGAAGTGTCAAGTCGACTATGGTTTTGTAGTTGAAGAGAGATCGAGGGATTGTATCGAATTCAAGTTCAAGATAAAGATCCCGGATATTACGGTCTATGGCGGTTGTAATCAATGTCTCCAGTTGATACTCGCTGCATTTGATGCGATAGAGTGTTAAATAATCAATTCTTTTTGTCTTGTGCCGCAATATAACCCTGTGGATGATGTCTGAGGCTCGTGTTTCTTCTGGTCTGAAATAGTACGAGAATCGTGTTCCTTCTTTCCTGAAATCGTCTCTTCCACTGAAATGGAGAGAGGGTACATAGGCCCATAGAAGCCTCCATCTTTTTCCGAGAACACTGGTCGCCATTGAGAGCTTTGTCGGGAGAAAAGAGAGAATGTGGAATATGACATCATCCGGCAAGCTGCTGAGCAGATCGATTGAGGCCATGTTTTGCTCTATATTCCGAAATTCCGACAAAAGGGCGCACCTGATTTTCACAACGACAAACCAAGGCAGTAGCATTCACAAGGTACCATGATTCAGACTATTGTTTGATGGGACGAATATGAATAGGTTGAGAAATACAATTAACAGTACAAAATTTATATAGCAACTAATGTAGCTAAGAAGTCGAAAAGGGCAAGAGAGAAAAAACTGAAACCTGAAGCCTAAGCACGGATACTCTTGCAATTCCTATCGCCACATGTTACCTACAATACAACACAAACACAAACTAAAACTAAACAGGAACTACCAAACCCCGGGAAAAAGACCGGATATTGGGAGATACAATTCTCAATTGTAAGAAGGTGTTAGATTGATCGAGAAAATAGCTTTATAAGCTACGTTTACCTTGAAAATTCAATGGTCATATCACAATTAACATTTCAAACAGCTTTGTTACGTCCCAGGAGGACACTGGTCGGGAATTGGCCGTAGTGAGGAGATGAATGAGAAAGACGACGATGTGGAAGTGGACATTAGGGCTGAAGGACACGCGTCTCAACTGATTCTCTATTGGGCTTAGTGGTTCAATTACTTAATACGAATTGGGCCAAGTAGCTTAGGTAGCAACAAATATTATTTAGCCCAATAATTAATTTAGATGATATGTACAAGGTAGGCCCAATTAGCTATCTGCTATCCGCTAATAAAATATGTTATTAGTTATTCGCTATCAGCTAATAGCCAAACAATGCCTAGTATATTTTCAAATAATCCAATTCATAGCTCTATCTTGATTTTTTTGTCATATTTGAGTCCGCTATAGAGCAGCCGAGGGACATGATGTCTGTGTGGTATCCATGGGCTAATTTGTCGACCTGACGACCTATTTGACTACACTAATGTGGCTTTATAGATTAATTTGACGACCTAACTTATTATACTAGTGTGTACTTTATGGGCTAATTTGACGACTGAATTTGACTTTATCGAGAGGCTCTACAGGATAATTTGACGGCTTACGTCGACCCTACCGGTTTAGTTTCTATGGGCTAATTTGACGACTTATATCGACCCTACCAATGTAGTACTCAATATTGATATAAAATATAAAATACAACAACAGTGAAAATAATTATCAAACTTCGATAAAATGATTAACCTATCTAGTTGTAATAGCTTTATTGTCAATACTAGTACAACACCCGTGTATTACACGGGTGCTTGCTAAATTTTTTTTCTTCTTAAAATTTAAAATTAATGAGTAAAAGTGGTTGAAAATTTAAATACTTTTTATAAAAAAATATATATATTATTACATATTTTAGTATGTCATTTGTTACTTGTGCGACTTACATGTGTTATATTATAATAATTTTTCTAACTTATAATATATAACTTCATTAAACATAAATATATTAATTGAGAAATAATTTTATTTTTATAATTAATTTTAATAAATAATTTATTATTATTATAAAGATAAATATAATTTATTTATTTTATATATACAATATGATGTCAAATCGAATCTCATCAAAAGATGATTAACTTGATATATTATATATGTAACACCGATAAGAAATACAAAAGTTATCAACTTTTAAAAGACATTTACAATTCAATGGTTATAATAAGAAATAATATTAAAATACAATTAATACATCTAAAATGATCATAAATAAATCAACATATTTATGGTAATCTGGACCTAATTGTTTTTTAATTGAAATTAAATTAATATCTAACCAAGCCAAATAATTAAGCATGAAATTTTAACACCTAAGATCCCAAAGCATGCGAGTCTGTCACTTAAGCTCAGCATATTCGGGAGTTATATATAGGGTGGATTTTTCCGAGTGGCCACTATTTGGTTTGATAGTATCAGTCTAAAAGGCTATTATTGATTGCATAATCGAACCATATACCTCTAGATTATTGAAACCTTGCAAGTGACTGAGATAAACCAACAAGGAACAAATTCCGCCGAGGACGGCGGTGGCCATGTAGGCCTCAGTTGGGAGAAAATGGTCGCTCAACCCATGACGGCCTCAGTTGTAATAAAGGATTTCATAAGGGCTATTTACACACATACTTCACGATTCAATAAATATTGTAAATGTACAATCCCACTAAAAATAATTGCATGTTTACCTAAGATTTAGTTAGATTAGTTTCTATTGTCAGTTACCATATACTGCAACGTCTCCCCTTAATTTGCGCTGGTAATTTAGATATCCTACTAATTAGGGTGTTCAATTCAATGTAACTGCTGCTTCCTTAATTTGCACAGATCGTTGTTTTTCAGTTCTTAGGTTTTTGAATAGGTAGTATATATTGAGTTTATATTCAGTATATGTTCATTTTTTATTTTTTTTTTATGAGGCATATATTGCGTTTATAAACAGTATATAACCTGATTTTTTATTTACATAGCATTTTTATGTAACCACAATTGTGATAGTTGAATTTTTGTTCAGGGTCAGTTTGGTTGGCATGATATGGCTTGATATCCTTTCCTTTGTTAATATTTCCTGCCTATTAATATGTTTGGTTTGTTCAGTTTAAGCCCTTGAAATGTGCAATATCCCGGTTCCATTATACCAAAAATTGGGATACTACATCCGGCCCCATAGATGGGATGGGTAATCAATCTTATTTTGGTCTTTGATTTTCCATATATATCCTCAGTCTGACAAAAACATTCCAAAAACATAGTTCACCGTTCACTCTTCCTATGAAAAAATCAATTCAATTTCACAAAATTTGAAGCACCAAATTTCACAATAAAATTTGAAGAGTACGTAAAAAAAAAAAAACACAAAATTAACTAATTCAACAATTCAACTCGGTCCGCCACCAAGTTCACAGCTCCTCGCCGGATCCACAGTCCACCAAGCCGCCACCACCGTCAGATCCACCGTCCTTCAAGCTGCCCCCGCTAGATCCTCCATCCTTCAAAGTCCAGATCCAAGGTCCTCCAAGCTGCTGCGCTGAAATTGCTGAGGAAGAAGGCAACATCGCCGACGAATCGGAGTCCTGTGGCTCTTGTGGCGGTGGCGCCTCCGCCGTCGAAAGACGAGCTCAACAAATTGGAGGAGAATAATGTGGGAGTCCATGGCCTCGCATAGTGAGAAAATCGAGTCAATTTTCCCTTTCTCTTCTTTCTTTGTTCAAGCTTTAGGGGAATTTGTGGAATTGATATGGCTATTCGCGATTTGTGATATGTAATTTTCTCCAGATGTTATGAATGTTTCAAGGGTTTTCATTGGAAACTGATGAATAGTAATGCACAGCTTTTTCATGTTCATGGTAGTATTTGCAAATTTAATTTAAAATGAAGGGCAAAAATGTAATAGTATATTATCATCAACTTGAACCAAACATGTTAATGTTCTTTATATAATCAAACATATAAAGTTAATAACAACAATAGGAATTAATCATGCTCTATCCATTATTGCAACCAAACTCACTCTCAGTATATAACATATCATATACAAATCATAAACTGATAATAATCATTATTTTAATAAATTATTTTAGTATATGTAGAGTATATGATAAACAAATGAAGCACAGGCCAGATGAAAAACACACGAAGCATATATGGGAAACGAAAAATATATTGAACATATACTGCATATACACGCAACATATACTGCTGATTGTGCTTACAAGAACATATACTGAAAAATATATTGTATATATTCGCAACATATCCCACAACATAATAAATCAAACAAAAAATTCTCAAAAAAGCTAAAATATCATCACCTGAAACATCATCAATTATTAATCATCGAAACCTCGTTTTTCAGCAGTAAATCGAGAGATTGATCTACAGTAAATCGCCATGGGAGGAGAAGAAAATAAAATGTATTACAGATCTATAACCAACAATTTTTTACCCAAAATTCCATCGCCGTCAAGGGAGGAGGAGACGAAGAGAATCACCTAGGAGACGACGTGTATGAACCCGGCCCGACAGTAGCAGCCTATCATGGTATTATAGGAGACGACGTTTGTTTGCGGCATTCCATCGAACATCTAGCGGGCCATATCGATCTCGCCGAGGGATGTGTATTTGAAGATGATATTGTTGTAAAGGAAAACGGGGTCTTGATTTGGGAACGAGCCCATTGTGGTGACGAGAGCGTGGAAAGATTTTACCCCATTAAGTGACGGAATGTTTGCAGGGTCAAGTAGCGCGGCGGCGCGACGGTGGTTTTTGATGATTTCGCCATTGGAGGTGGCTAAGAAGAGAAGCTTTTGAGTCGAAGGAAGAAATCTGTGGGTTAAGATGCTTTGATGTGAAGATATGGTGAGAGAATTCATATAAAGTTTTCCATAAATTTAGCCACTAATTGATTATTTAATTCATATATTGAAGCAACTGAAATCTAGTAAAAATGCAAATATAATCATGATTTCTTGCTTTAATGCTGATAAATTTCATCGGATGTTATTAACGTAAATAAAGTAACACTAACTTTGGGTTGCTACAACTAGGCTAAACTACTCGACCCAACTCGTAATAAGTAATTGAACATCTAAGCCCAATAACATCAACAGATCAATTGATACGCGCGTGTCCTTCAGCCCTAAAATCCACTTCCATATCGTCTTCTTTCCCATTCATCTCTTCAACTGCGGCCAATTCCCGACCAGTGGCGATAGGAATTGGGAGAAATCGAAAGAGTCTCCGTGTTCAGGCTTCAGGTTTCACGTTTCTCTTTTGCCCTTTTCGACTTTTTAGCTACATTAGTTGCTATATAAATGCTCTCTACTGTTAACTGTATTTCTCAACCATTTTCATCTTTGTCTCATCATCTTCTTCACATTAGACTTAGAATTAAACTGGCCATCACACAATAGTCTGAATGCTACTGCCTTGATTTGTAGTTGTAAGAATCAGGTGCCCTTTTCCATAATTTTCATGTACGAAACCAGACAACTAAGTGGAAAGCGCACTAAGCTTTCAGATGTAGAGCCAAACATGGCTTCGATCGATAGGCTGAGCAGCTTGCAGGACGAAGTCATATGCCACATTCTCTCTTTCCTCCCAACAAAGTTCTCAGTGGCGACCAGCGTCCTTGGACAAAGATGGAGGTTTCTATGGGCCCATGTACCCTCTCTGCATTTCAATGGAGTAAATTTCGGGGAAGAAGGAACACAAGCCTCGGACATCGTTAACAGGGTTTTATTTCGGCACAAGGCGAAAAGAGTGGATACTTTAACAATCAATCGCGTCAACTGCAACGAGTTTCAACTGGAGACATTCATTACAACTGCCATCGACCGTAGTATCCGAAATCTTTATCTTGAACTCGACTTGGATACATTCCCTCTATACCTCTTCAACTGCAAAACCATTGTCGACTTGAAGCTTGATAACAATAGAGCGTCACTCTCTGCTGTGAAAAATGTGTCTCTGCCCAGCCTCAAGAAGTTATATGTTTATCATCTTATATGTGAGAATGATGATGCACTTCCTCGTTTTCTTTCCGGCTGTCCTTCGCTCGAGGTGTTGAATATGACATTCAAGTTTGTGGAAGAAGATGATTATGTGGGCTGCATAAATATATCATCACCCACGATAAAGATGCTTCAGATTAGATTTGACTTTGACTGTTTCTCTTTCTCCTCTTTCTCACTTAACCCTAAATATAGGATGGTAATAAATGCCCCGGCCCTTAGGTACCTCGAAGTGTATGGCTATGACTTGAAGTGTATAACAATTCCTATAACCTTGATCTCCTTAGTTGAGGCAGACATCATCTTCGATTCTTGTCGCTTCTCAAAGCTCGAAACGGATTACAATTCCACGTTGGTGAAGTTTCTTCACTCTCTGTCTTATGTAAAATGCCTAATGATATCAGGTCGGGACTTTGAGGAGGTAGGTTTTCATTCTTCAATCTCTTAGTCCTCGTGTCAATAGTTTTCGGCTTCGTTATATATATGTGTAATGTGGTTTTAATATTTTCAGTTTGTTCATAGAGGAGTTTGTTCAACTGTAAAGTTTGATAACTTAACGAAACTTGAAGTCCAGTTGGACGTCAAATGGAGTTTGCTTGTAAAGTTCCTTGAAGTTGCTGATAATCTTCAAATCCTTATTGTAAGTGGGTTTATCGCTGATGCAATTAAATTTGTCTTTAGTCGTGTCTCGTTTTTCATACAATAATAACTCCTTCTTTTGTTTTACTCATTTTGTTATGCTTCTTTTAGTGTCAGCACGATTATTTTGGAAAGGTATATTTGTGTCCGGAGCCCCAAGAAGTGCCTAAATGCTTATTATCCAGTCTAAGAAAAATAGAAATTACATGGATGCGGTTCAAAGAGCATGAATTTGACATGGTTAGATATCTTTTGAGGAATTCTCGAGTATTGGAGAGGATGGAAGTATGTTATGTATTTAATGATCTGAAAACGAAATTCCAAGCGCTCACGCGAATTTCATTGTTTGAGAGAGGATCCAATGCATGTCAGATTGCCTTCTTCCGGATTGTTTGAGCGAGGATTCCAAGGCTTGAGACCTTATTATGTAGTAAGTACTGATGTCTGATTTCGACAACTTAATGTTCCTCAAGTTCTGTAGTAACTATTTCGACTTGCATATGTTTTGTGCAATTGTGGGACGATGAAAATATCGTATATGTAACTTGATGATTATTAATTTATTCATAAACTCGCAAGTGTTATGTTCTGTGTTGCTCAAGTTTTACTGTCTTAGTGGCATTTGTACTCACCCTTGTTGCAGTAGTAGCTGCTCTTTTACAAGCAATTACCTTAAAAAATGATTGAAAAATTCTCAACTAATTTTGTCTTGAGTTTAAGTTTCAATGTATATTATTGGCATGTTTTGAGGCTTCTATATATGTGACAAGCTAAAAGTATTTTTAAATCAGTTTCCTAATAATCATTATCTTTGTTTTTAATAATGAGCAATTCTATTTCTTAAAAATAATAGCAAAATAACCAAACTTGAAATGAAAAAAAATGAATATTTTATAATGAACGAAAATTAGCATAATGTGGATTCTTATAAAAAAAATAGTATAAATATTGTATCTTATTTACATTAATAAAATTAAAAATTATCATAATGTGTATTTTTATAAAAAAAATATTATAAATATTGTATCTTATTTACCTATAGGTTAACCCTAATGAGTTCATTCTACACACTTGAAAAATAAATTTCATAATGAAACTAAATCAATTTCATTCCAAATGTAAATGACCTAAGGAGAAAAAAAAAATGCCCTTTTAAACATTTACTGGAATTTTTTATTTATTTTTATTATTATTATTTGGTAGAATTAGAACATTCAAAATTAAATCATACATAAATAATTTAAAATTAAACCAGATCATTCATAAATGACTAATAAACTAACAACAATGCAATTTTGAAAGAGTGATAAAATAAATTGCAAATAAAATATCCCATCACCATAATTACAACAAGGATTAGAAAACAAAAACATAACAAACTTCAATCCTATATATATATTTTGTACTGTGAACTTAATTAGAATTTTTTATTTGAGTTTCTAATTAAAAAAGAAAAAACAAAACAAAACAAAACAGTTTGAAAAGAGATGTTTTGCATGAACTTAAAATTTCACAATAACTATACAAATAATTATTTGCAAAGCTTTTGTTTACAAAACATTAATACAATCCGCTAGTCAAATCAACTGCTAAAATCTAACAAATCAACTGTTACAATCCGCTATCAACAAATAAAATCTAAAATTTTTTGTTAGTTATCCACTATCAACTAATAATCAAACATAGATTCGGGCAGCTGTTGAAGCTCTGGCCTTACGTTTCGGACTTTGGTTTATGCTAGATTCGGGCTTCACGATCCAAGCTACCAAAACTGATGCCCTTTCAGTTAATTGCGGTATTTCTGACCACCTCCCAAATAATCCGTTGCAGCATGTTTTTGAGGATATTACCGAGCTTTTGTTATCTTTGAATTGTGGTGTTTGTAGTCATATTGATAGAGCTAATAATGTGGTTGCTCATAACATAGCTAAATGGGCTGTAGAGGCGATGAATTCTTTCCTGTGGAAAGATTCTATGCCGTCTTTTTTCTCTTCCTTCTTTCATGGTGTATCGGGTTTATGACTTTGATTAAATGAATCTAGTTATTTTATTTGCAAAAAAAAAAAAATATTAATAATCAAACAAAGCTTATTATTATATTTTCAAGTAATCTAATTCCACGGAGCAGCAGCCGAGGGACACGGATGCTAGCCGATGGAACATCACGACACGAAGACCTCACAAACAGTCCCCGTAACACAATACAAACATACAAAACATAACTCAGAAAAATCAACGTCAATAATCCAAACGAACCAAGTCCCAGTCCAAACCCTCCTAATACAATCTCAATCGAAAGCAAACTCATACACTCGTCTAGGCCTCCTTGGAAGCTGATGTTGAACTCAAGATTCTGGACATGGGCCCAACGTGAAATCTCCATTTCTTCACTTCATTTTATGCGTAAGGATGAAATAAATTGGACCCTCGTTTTGAATCCCCATTTCTTCACTTCCTCACCCTGTATTTCAGTCTGTTTCATAACACGGCAGCTGCATCTCAAATGAACAATTTAAAAATGTCAATATATTTTCAATGGTTGTTTGATAGTATCAATCTAAAAGGCTATTATTGATGGCCTAATCGAAGCATATATTTCTAGATTATTTACTTGGTATAAATTGTACTTATAAAGTAAGACGCATAATCAAATGCAATGTGATGACCTTCAAGATTTTTGTGATGTTTGAGATTTATTTCAGTGGTTTCATGGCTTCAAGATTGCGTGAATAATATATCATACTATATAGTATACTCTTGCAATGTACCTCCTTTTTATTTGCAATTAAAACCTCACTGAAAATAAGAACTTCAAGGATACCAGCACTTTCGAAGTAATTTCACAATAAAAAATCTATCAACAGCAGCACATTCAAGATATAATTCCATTGACTATCAGATATTCGAAGAAATCTTACCCAGAAGCTATTGAGATAAAGTGAATGAAAACTTAACACTACCCACTCATTTTTTACCCCAAAAAAATAGAAAAATGAAAAGAAAATATTATCAAGTTTCAACCCAAAACAAACCCAACGAGCAATCACTGCTCACCAATACCTACGAACACAGACATTTGTTTCAATCATTCAAAGACAAAACAAAACAAAATCCTCATAGGAAGGAAAATTCTCGATGAAACAAAATGGATCTTGTTGGGCCCATGAAGAATATGTATCCATCTTCTTGAGGGCTTGAGCGTATTCATAAAACAAACCGTACGAATTTCAATTCTTCAGCTGAACACCCAAACTGTTTCATTACTACAGTTTTGAGTGAACAAAGAAGGCAAGCACACCGTCCCTTTCATGGGTTCCGACGAGACTCTAAGATTAATGAAACCTTGCAAGTGACTGAGATAAACCAAAAAGGAACAAATTCCGCCGAGGACGCCGGTGGCCATGTAGGCCTCAGTTGGGCGAAAATGGTCGCTCAGCCCATGGATGTCTCAATTGGAATAATAAAGGGTTGATTAGTGGGCCACACCTTTGGGTCGACCCAAGCCAAAAGTAACACTCTCACTTGGATATAATTTGGGTTGCTAAAACTAGGCTAAACTACTCGGCCTAATTCGTAATAAGTAATTGAACATCTAAGCCCAATAACATTTGATAGACGTGTGTCCTTCAGCCCTAAAATCCACTTCCATATCGTCTTCTTTCCCATTCATCTCCTCAACTCCGGCCAATTCCCGACCAGTAGCGATAGGAATTGGGAGAAATCGAAAGAGTCTCCGTGTTCAGGCTTCAGGTTTCACGTTTCTCTCTTGCCCTTTCGACTTTTAGCTACATTAGTTGCTAAATAAATGCTCTACTGTTAACTGTATTTCTCAACCTTTTCATATTTGTCTCGTCATCTTCTTCACATTATACTTAGAATTAAACTGCCCATCACACAATAGTCTGAATGCTACTGCCTTGATATGTAGTTGTAAGAATCAGGTGGCCTTTTTCAGAATTTTCATGGACGAAACCAGACAACTAAGTGGACTTTCGGATGGAGAGCAAAACATGGCTTGGATCGACAGGCTGAGCAGCTTGCAGGACGAAGTCATATGCCACATTCTCTCTTTCCTCCCAACAAAGTTCTCAGTGGCGACCAGCGTTCTCGGAAAAAGATGGAGGTTTCTATGGGCCTATGTACCCTCTTTGCATTTCAGTGAAGACGATTTTAGGGAAGAAGGAACACAAGCCTCGGACATCATTAACAGGGTTTTATTTCGGCACAAGGCGAAAAGATTGGATATTTTAACACTCAATGGCATCAACTGCAACGAGTTTCAATTGGAGACATTCATTACAACTGCCATCGACCGTAGTATCCGGAATCTTTATCTTGAACTTGACTTGGATACATTCCCTTTATTCCTCTTCAACTGCAAAACCATTGTCGACTTGAAGCTTGATAACAGTAGAGCGTCACTCTCTGCTGTGAAAAATGTGTCTCTGCCTAGCCTCAAGAAGTTATATGTTTCTAATCTTATATGCGAGAATGATGATGCGCTTCCTCGTTTTCTTTCCGGCTGTCCGTCGCTTGAGGAGTTGAATATGAAATTCACGTTTGTGGAAGAAGATGATTATGTGGGCTGCATAAATATATCATCACCCACGGTAAAGATGCTTCAGATCGAATGTGACAATTCATGTAAACTTGAATATAGGATGATAATAAATGCCCCGTCCCTTATGTATCTCGAAGTGTATGGCTATGACTTGGAGTGTATAACAATTCCTATAACATTGATCTCCTTAATTGGGGCGGATATCAGCTTAAAAGTTTATTCATTCTCAAATCTCAAAACAAATCACACTTCCACAGTGGTGAAGTTTCTTCATTCTCTGTGTTATGTAAAGTGCCTAAAGATATCATGTTGGGAATTTGAGGAGGTATGTTTTGATTCTTCAGTCTCTTAGGCCTCCTGTCAATTAGTTTTCGGCTTTGTTGTTATATATATACGTAATGTGGTTCTAATATTTTCAGTTTGTTCATAGAGGAGTTGCTTGTTCAACCGTAAAGTTTGATAATTTAACAAAACTTAAAGTCCTATTTAACTTCAAATGGAGTGTGCTTGTAAAGTTCCTTGAAGTTGCTGATAATCTTCAAGTCCTTACTGTCCTTACTGTAAGTGGAGTTTATCGTTGATTCAATTAAATTTGTCTTTAGTCGTTTCTCGTTTTCTTACAGCCATAGCTCCTTTTGTTCTGCTTATTTTGTTATGCTCCTTTTAGTGGCAGCAGGTTCATTTTGGAAAGGGGTATTTGTGTCCGGAGCCCGAACAAGTGCCTAAATGCTTATTATCCAGTCTAAGAACTATAAAAATTACATGGATGAAATACAAAGAGCATGAATTTGACTTCATCAGATATCTTTTGAGGAATTCTCGAGTATTGGAGAGGATGGAACTATTTTCTACATGTATGGATCTGAAAATGCAACTCCAAGCTCTTAAGAGAATTTCATTGTTTGAGCGAGGATCCAGCGCATGTCAGCTTGACTTCCTTCCGGATGAGTGATTGGCGTGAGATCTTATTATGTAGTAAGTATTGATGTCTGATTTCAACAACTTAATGTTCCTCAAGTTCTGTAGTAACTATTTCGGCTTGCATATGTTTTGTTGCAATTGTGAGACGATGAAAATATCAGGTATGTAACTTGATGATGATTCATAAACCCCCAAGTGTTATGTTCTGTACTGTGTTACTCAAATTGTGATGACCGTTAAATATGGTCATAACGTAAGATGATTAAAAGTGCACCAGAAAATATCATTTAGTAAAACCACTACAGGACAGACTAAATATCGGTGTCGTTCTTGATTAGGAAAAACAGAAAACGTCAATTATACAAAGGCTGAAACCATTAATCAAGATGTAAAAAACCGAATAATATCTCTCTTCTATAACTTCAATTTAAAAAAAAAAAAATAATTAAAAAATATGAAAACAGATTTTCACAAACAACACATCAGAATATATATACTTAAAAAAAGAAAATCATTTAAAGCATAGATCAACCATACATGTGACAACCATTAAATGAAGTCATAGTCTCACATTCAAAAGCAATAAATCACCAAAAACATCATGTATTAGGTCAAATGATAGCATCTGGAAAAACAAAGAACATACATTTCTTATTCTTTAGTCTATTCTAACAACAAAATTTTCAACAATGGTGTTTATTTTATAAAATTTATCTTAAAAAAAAAAAATATGAATACCTTTAAGTTTGCAGAGAGAGTAAGTGCACATAGAGCATCAGATAAGAAAATGTGTAACTTCATTAATTTATATACTAAGCATTGACATATCTCTTGTAACTGCAGGACTACTTGAGTATAAGTTGCCACATGTCAAATATATACCTACTGCCACAATCCCAAGAAAATCTAACAGTTAAAAATATTTGCAAATTAAAAAAAATAGATATAATTACTTAGATTGTGATCTATGGAAAGGCTGCAGCTCTCTTGACCAAATACCAATAAGTGAATAGTCACATCCAACTATCATATCTTGTGAATAAAAAAAACTTAAATCTAATTCCTTCATCTATTCATATATCAATTTTAAAAATATGTAATCTTGTTCCAGCCATGTCTAAAATGAGTTAGATGCACTTTTTAAGCTAATGCTTAACTTAATGCTTGCATCAAATGGTCTTTGTAAAATTAAAAAGCTCGAAATAATTATGTGTTCCCTTTCCATATTTCTTAGCCCGAAAAAAGTATATGTTACAACCAACAATACAGAGAAAATTATAAAAGGCAAAAAATGATCTTCCCTTTTGCTTTTTTCGAAATCAGCAAGCCAAAACTCTTGAATCTCTGAAATAGGAAAACAACTTAAGAAATCAATTGACTAACTAAAATAAGTTAAAAAGGGGAATGTAAATTAGACTAATTTTCAAGCAATTTACGAATGTAGCAAGCAAAATTTCAAAATGAAGAGTCACGTACCATTTTATCCGACTGTCCGCTTCTAACTGACGGCGAGCCCCGTCGAGCTGCCTCTCGAAAGACGGTGCGGCCGCGCCCGCCATAATTTAAGGATGTGTTGCGGTTGAATCTATAGATCGACCCCTTTTTTCTGTCGTATTTCGGTCCTCTTGTTGAAAATTTTCAATTTTAATGGTAGATTTTGGGGAGCGAAACTTCTCTATTTTTTACTGTTTTTTTTTAGTATTGAAAATTGATGCAAGTAATCACTTGAAATTCTCGAATTTAACGACCAATTTGGGCTTTTTACTGTGTTTTTTTGGATTGTTTTGTAGAATAACTTGAACTTAAATTTTTCACAACTATACAAATTATTATTTACAAAACTTTTATTTACAAAACACTAATACAATTCGCTAGTCAAATCAACGTCCCCTCTCAACAAATAAATCTAAAATTTGTTATTAGTTATCCTATGTCAACTAATAATCAAACAAAGCGTATTATATTTTCAAGTAATCCAATTCAATGCTCAATCCTGGCATCCTGCATTTTCTCTAAGATATGAGTTCGACATAGAGCAGCCGAGCGACACGATACCATCCGACGGAACATAGCGACACGAAGACTTCACAAATAGTCCTCGTAACACAAACATACGAAACACAACTTAGAAAAATCAACATCAATAATCCAAACGAACCAAATCTCAGTCCAAACCCTCCTAATACAATCTCAATCGAAAGCAAACTCACATTCGACAGATACTCGCTTGAACAACATAATCCTCTTGACCGCGTCCAATTTCTCCTTACAACTGAGTCGAAGGTGGTGAAAATAAATCACCACCGCCGTTAAAACTCCAGAATTCCCCAAAAGATACCTCACCAGCTTAAACTCGTGCTTTCGGCACACGAACCCATAGATCCTCACCTCCCAATGACCGTCTTTTACAGGTACTAACTAGAATGTATTAACTAGAATGATTTGTGTATTCAATTGGTTCAGGCTGTTATGACTATATCAGATTTATTTGCGATTTGTTTTTATCACTTACTTTCTTTTTAGTTTGTTGGGAGTGATTGTTTATTGTTTCAACTCAAAAAAAATTAATCAAAACTCAAATTTAACTCAACTTTAACCAAACCTCACTATCTTCAATATTATCAATATAATTAAATAATATCAACCAATCATTCTTATACATCACATCAACTTCATTTCACTATTCATTCACTCACATAATTTTAACTATCTATCATTTCCAATCATTTTTCTCTTACTTTACATCAAATCAATTCTAATTATTTTATTTAAATATTATTTTAATATATCCACTAACAACTAATCATACCAACTTTTTTTTTTCAAAATTAACTATAGTTAAAAACAAACTAAATAAAAACTAGTTGAATCCATAAACAATCACCCCCGTCTTTTAATTTTAAATGATTTGTGTATGGTTTAATTTTTAATGTTGTATTTTAAAAATACAGATTAAAAATTAAAAAGTGTAGTAAATATGTAAAANTTTGGAATGAAATTTATGTAGTTTCAATTGTTTAGTTTGAACCGTTTATTTAGTTTCAATTGTTTAAGTTCAACATGTAAAACTCCGCATTTTTGAGTTTGTTGAAAGAAAGTTTGTAAGGAACATTGAGCTTCCATTCATGCATAATTTCCATTTGTTTGCTGAAAATACTTTAGGATACAAGCATATAAGTTTGGTCTGGATGATGCATTAGATCAGGTTCGGATCATGAAAGCATACAGTGCATTCCAACTATTTTCACATAATCATGATGAACTGGTTCAAATTATCCAAGATTTTCTCTATTTTGGAAGCTGGCATAAGGAGACAAACAAATGAAAAGCTTCATATAATCATGAAATTACTAATCATCAGATAAAAACACATCAGTTTCTTTTTATTTATTGTTGTGGATGATGATCATGTTAGATTCATTAAAACACAACAAAATATCAAACATTTATATCTTGATTCGCAGAGTTATCCTATGAGATGGATTCACTTACTCTGTAAAGTCTTAATTATTCATTTCCTCTTTCAGCAAATCTGGAGATCAAGGATTTTTTTTTTTTCAAACGATAAATATATTAATAACTAAAAAACTCAACCGAGTACAATAGGAGTGCCAACTGACACACACAGGACCCAGAAAAACTGGACCTACCCTCTCGAAAGCACATTGTGTCCGAGAGGTAAAACCTCCATCAAGGAGTCACCCGCACACACAAAAGACCCACCTCCATAAAGGAGACTGGAACTCCATAAAGGAGACTAGATGCCAGACGCAGCTGGACTTCTATGCACTACAAAAATAAAAAAGGAAAAACACACACCTAATGTACAAATAAACTAGTACCTCCCCTACACCTAACAGATTCGATGGCTAACCACCCGGGACCACACACGATCCACGTCCACTAACAAAGATATCCAACAAAACCACAAACCGAAACCTCAAGCCCGAAAACTGCGGCTACTCGTGCCGCCTAGACGGATCTGAAGAAGAGACTACTGCTCTCGGTTCAGATCTGAACTTCCGAAGAACATCCACTCTTGGGGGAAGAGAGGAAGCCGCTGATGACACCAACACGCCTCGCCGGAGTACTCGAAAGATGGATCGAATTGGACGGCAAGCCACACCAAAGGACCCAAAACATGAACAACAAGACTCTCGGCGGAACAATGGTCGGTACCTCCTCGAGGCTGGGGCCTGAACTCTTGCCGCCGGCAGTCTCGTCCATGGCCGGGGATGGTTAGGTGGCGAAGCAACTCGGACCCAGCGGGGGCGAGAGCTCTCCAACCCAACCTCCCACAAAGCCCGGAGGAGATGGAAATGTCCTCAGCCCCGAATAGACGAGCTCCAATTCCAGTGGCGCGGCGGCGAACTTGAAGGTGTAGGAGGGGCTGCGATTTTGACGAAGAGGGTTTCTTGAGATTGAGTTTTTTTTCACAGGAGAGAGAAGAGAGGATTTGTTTCTTGAAATTTCTGAGGGAAGTGAATTTAGATCAAGGATTTTTAATGGGCTATTTTAAGGTAGTTCTAAATTTTGACAGAACACATAAAATACAACAATGACAAAATAATTATCAAACTTCGACAAAAGGATTAACCTAAATCTGGTAGGCACAGCTGCTTGAGAGAGATAGTTAAGGCAAACGGTGGAGATAGCTAGGTCAAGATGTAATGGAGCTACTTATAGTACCATTTGTGACCGAGCTTAATAGGCTTTATTGCCAATATTTTTCCAGGTGGCCACTATCTCTGGTTGTTTGATAGTAGCAATCTAAAAGGCTATTAGTGATGGTATAATCGAACCATATACTTCTAGATTATTTACTTTGTATAAAATGTACTTATAAAGTAAGACTGAACAAACACTTAAAGAGTTTTTCAATCAATTTTTGTTAGTAAATGAGCAGCTGCTACTCCAACAAGGGTGGGTAGAAATGCCACTAAAACTTGAGCAACACTGAACATAACGCTTAGTTTATGAATCATCATCATGTTACATACTCGATATTTTCATCGTCTCACAATTGCACGACACATAGCAAGTCGAAAGGAAGGAAAGCTGACATCAGTACTCACTACATAATAAAACTTCAGGCCAATCACTCAGAATCCGAAAGGAAGGCAAGCTGGCATGCTTTGGATCCTCGCTCAAACAATGAAATTCTCTTAAGCGCTTGGAATTTTGTTTCCAGATCAATACATTCATACAATAGTTCCATCCTCTCCAATACTTGTGAATTCCTCAAAAGATATCTCACCATGTCAAAATCATGCTCTTCGAAGCGCATCCACTTAATTGTTATTGTTCGTAGACATGATAACAGGCATTTAGGCACTTGTTTGGGCTCCGGACACAAATATCCCTTTTTACGATAAACCTGATGACACAAAAAGGAGCATAACAAAACGAGTAAAACAAAAGAAGGAGCTATACTGCAAGAAAAATGAGAGACAGCTAAAGACAAGTTTAATTGCATCAACGATAAACTCCACTTACAATAAGGACTTCAAGATTATCAGCAACTTCGAGGAACTTTACCAGCAAACTCCACTTAACATCTACTTGGAGTTCAAGTTTGGTTAAATTATCAAACTTTACACTTGAACCAGCAACTACTCTTTGCATAAACTGAAAAATAAAATAAACCACATAAGCGCATATATATATGTGTGTATAAGAACAAAGCTGAACGAAAACTAATTGATAGGAGGTTCTAAGAGACTGAAGAATCACAACATACCTGCTCAAATTCCCAAACTGACATCTTTAGGCACATTACATAACACAAAGAATGAAGAAACTTCACCAACGTTGAATTGTAATTCGTTTTGTGCTTTAAGAACAAATTACTTTTGAAGCAGATATCCGCCTCAACTAAGGAGATCATGGTTATAGGAATTGTTAGACACTCCAAAGAATAGCCATCCACTTTGAGATACGCAAGTGCCGGGGCATTTATTATAATCCTAAATTCAAGGTTAGATCGAGATGAAAGACGGTCAATATCGAGCTTAAGCGTCTTTATTGTGGGTGATGATATATTTATGCAGCCCGCATAATCATATGCAAAGTGGATTGCCATATTCAAGTCCTCAAGGGAGGGACAGCCGGAAAGAAAGTGAGGGAGGGCTTCATCATTCTCGCACACAACATTAGAAACATGAAACTTCTTGAGGCTAGGCAGAGAGACATTGTCCATAGCAGAGAGTGAAACTCTACTAGTAAATGAATCAAGCTTCAAGTGGACAATGGTTTTGCAGTTGAAGAGGGATCGAGGGAATGTACCTAAGTCAAGTTCAAGATAAAGATTCCGGATACCACGCTCCATGGTGGTCCTAATCCATGTCTCCAGTTGATACTCATTGCATTTGACGTAAGAGAGTGTTAAAGTATCCATTCTTTTTGCCTTGTGCTGCAATATAACCCTATGGATGATGTCCGAGGCTTGTGTTCCTTCTTCCCTAAAATCGTCTTCACTGAAATGCAAAGAGAGTACATAGGCCCATAGAAACCTCCATCTTTTTCCGAGAACACTGGTCGCCACTGAGAGCTTAGTCGGGAGGAAAGAGAGAATGTCATATGGCTTCGTCAGGCAAGCTGCTGAGCCTATCGATTGAGGCCATGTTTTGCTCTCTATCCCAAATTCTGACAAAGGGCACCTGATTTTCACAACTTCAAACCAAGGCAGTAGCATTCACAAGGTACCAGGATTCAGATTTAGCAACTAATGGCAACACTTAACACTTAACAGCTAAGAAGTCGGAAAGGGAAAGAGAGAAACCTGAAGCCTAAACACGGAGACTCTTGCGATTCCTATACAATACAACACAAAAGCAAACTAAGATAATATAACACAAACACAAACTAAACAGAAACTACCAAACATCGGGAAATAAGACCAGATATTGGGAGATACAATTGTCAGTTGTAGTATAGTGTTAGATTGATCAAGAAAATAGCTTTATAAGCTACGTTTACCTTGAAACTTTAGTGGTCATATCCCACTTAACATTTCAAAATTCGTTACGTCCCAGGAGGACACTGGTCGGGAATTGGCCGGAGTTGAGTAGATGAATGGGAAACACGGTGATGTAGAAATGGACATTAGGGCTGAAGGATCTGTCGGCTGATTCTCAGTTGGGCTTAGAGGTTCAATTGCTTATTACAAATTGGGCCAAGTAGTTTAGCCTAGCTGCTTATTCAGCCCAATAATTAATTAAAATGATATGTTTAAGGGTACTGTAGGGAATTACATGTGGTTCCATGGTTATGTAATGAGTCTAATTTATTTTAAAAAAAAAACATAGGAACGTGGTTGAAGAATAATTGAACATAAAATTTTCACAACTATACCAATCGTTATTTACTAAACTATAGTTTGTACACTGCTAACACAATCTATTAGTCAAATCAACTATTACTCTTACAATATATTATTAGTTATCCGCTAATAAAATCTGTGATCAGTTATCCGTTTTCACTTAATATTCTAATAATGCTTAGTATATTTTCAAGTAATCTAAATCATTGTTTAATTATGAATTTTCTCTCATATTTGAGTCCGCCATAGAGCAGCATAGGGACACGATGCTTCTATGTGGTCTATGGGTTAATTTGACGACCTAATTTGACTAAGCCAATGTGGGCTCTATGCGTTAATTTGACGACATAATTGATTATACCGATGTGTGCTTTATGGACTCAGCCTAAATTGACTTTATAGGATAATTTCACGATCTACGTCGACCCTACCGGTGTAGTTTCTATGGGATAATTTGACGACCTTATTCTATCCTATTTGTGTGGACTCTGTCGTGTCCATCAATGTGGGCTCTGTTCATATGGATTTCAAGAGTTGGACATCGGACAAACAATCATACAATACATGTTGATTAAACTTTGGAAACTCTATCCATAATGGTAAGACAAAATTCACCTGATTATATATCCTATAGACAAAAGAAATATGCTAAACAACAAAATGAACATGCTATTTGGATTAGATTTTATTGATCCAATTAAAATACATAAAACTATTAAAATTTATTTATATCAATAAAAAAATGTATCAGTGGACTAATAAATTAACTTACAAACTAGTCTTTTAAGGAGCCCCAGCATGGACAATATATTGTCGAATTTAAATGGATTGACAAATGTAAAAAAAATATTTTTATTGTTTTTTTAAGTTATATGTATCTATTTGTCTCATTTAATATGTCTAGAGTTCAAATACATTGTCAGATGCAAGTAAAGATTAAGGGACTCAAGCCGCGATGCATCGTAGGTCTTGAGTTTCGATGAGTCGTTTGGGATGAAATCAGTAACATCTAAATATAATTGTTTTTGTACGATTATTTTTTTTTTATTATTTTCCATATTAACCAAAAAAATGGGGGTGCTCGATCACGAAACCTACTCGCTCCGCCTCAAGGCTCAAGTTACTAAATAACAAACGATGAAATCCTAGGTTCGAATTTCTCCAAATGATACCAGAACTATGCCCCTCAAAAAACTCATTCAAGCATGTATGGTCAAACGGTGTCCGTAGGGCCAAATCGGAGTTGGGGTTTCTTGAGGAGGAGGTCGCAGTGCGGTGGGGCTAGCTAGTTAAGGTTAACACTCAAACCATACGTGTTGTTCTGCCAGCTTAATTTTATTAATATTAATATGATACAATATTTATGTTATTTTTGTATATAAAAATACACATTATACTTATTCTCGTTCTTTATAAATTATTCAATTATTTATTTTATTTTAAATTTTTTTGCATTTCAAGTTTGGTTATTTTGCTATTCTTTTTAAGAATTATAATATAATTGCTCATTATTTAAAAATAAAGAGAATGATAATTAGGAAAGTGATTTAAGAATACTTTTATCTTGTCACATATACTGAAGCCTCAAAACATGGCAATAATATATACGTTGTTAAACTCAAGACAAAATTAGTTGGAAAAATTTTCAATCAAATTTTCTGGTACTTGCAGGTAAACGAGTAGCTGCTACTGCAACAAGGGTAGGTACAAATGCCACTAAAACTTGAGCAGCACTAAACATAACACCTGCGAGTTTATGAATCATCATTAAGTTACATAACCGATATTTTCATTGTCTCACAATAGCAAGAAACATAAACAAGTCGAATTAGTTACAACAGAACTTGACGAAGATTAGGTTGTCGAATGCAAACATCAGTACTTCCTACATAGTACGATCTCAAGCCAATCTTTCAGCAATCTGAAAGGAAAGCAAGTTGGCAGGCGTTGGAACCTCGCTCAAACAATGAAATTCTCTGAAGCGCTTGGAATTTCGTTTCAAAATCAATGTATCGATGAGATGGGGTAAATATTTCCATCCTCTCCAATACTCGAGAATTCCTCAAAAGATATCTTACCATGTCGAATATATGCTCATTGAACGGCATCCACTTAATTGTTATAGTTCTTAGACATGATAATAGGCATTTAGGCACTTGTTCAGGCTCCAAACACAAATCTTCCTTTCCAAAATCAACGTGCTGACACTAAAAGGGGTATAACAAAATGAGTAAAACAAGAGAAGGAGCTATTGTTGTAAGAAAAACGAGAACAACTAAAGACAAATTTAATTGCATCAACAATAAACTCCACTTACAATAAGAACTTCAAGATTGTCAGCAATTTGAAGGAACTTTACAAGCAAACTCCATTTGATGTTCCATAGGAGTTCAAGTTCGGTTAAATTGTCAAACTTTCCAGTTGAACAAGCAACTCCTCTATGAACAAACTGAAAATATTAAAGCCACATTACACATATATATAACAACAAAGCCGAAAAGTAATTGACAGGAGACCTAAGAGATTGAAGAAACAAAACATACCTCCTCAAGTTCCCAACCTGACATCACTAGGCACTTTACATAACACTGAAGAAACTTCACCACCGTGGTATTATACCTTTGTAAGCGGATATCCGCCTCAACTAAGGAGATCATGGTTATAGGAACTGTTATACACTCCAAGTAATAGCCATACAATTGGAGATATGTAAGGGCCGGGGCATTTATTATCATCCTATATTTAGGGTTAGAATCGTCAGATGGACAAGTCAAATTGTAAAGATCGAGCTTCAGCGTCTTTATTGTGGGTGATGATATATTTATGCAGCCCACATAACCATAATCAAATGGTTCCTCTCCCAAAAATGTGAATTCCATATCCAACTCCTCAAGCGACGGACAGCCGGAAAGAAAGCGAGGGAGGGATTCATCATTCTCACACACAACATGATAAACAAGAAACTTCTTGAGGCTAGGCAATGAGACATTGTCCACAGCAGACAATGGCGCTCTATAGAAATCAAGATGCAAGTCGACAATGGTTTTGCAGTTGAAGATGCATCGAGGGAATATAATGAAGTCAAGTTGAAGATAAAGATTCTGGATACCACGGTTGATGACGGTTGTCATCAATGTCTCCAGTTCATACTCGTTGTAGTTGATGCTACGGAGTCTTAAAGTATCCATTATTTTTGCCTTGTGCTGCAATATAACCCTATGGATGATGTCCGAGGCTTGTGTTCCTTCTTCCGTGAAATCGTCTTCACTAAAGTCCAAACAGGGTACATGGGCCCATAGAAACCTCCATCTTTTTCCGAGAATGCTTGTCGCCACTGAGAGCTTAGTCGGAAGGAAAGAGAGAATGTGGCATATGACGTCATCCAGCAAGCTGCTGAGTCTATCGATTAAGGCCATGTTTTGCTCTGTATCCCAAATTTTGACAAAGGGCACCTGATTTTCACAACTTCAAACCAAGGCAGTAGAATTTAGAGGGTACCATGATTCAGATATTTCTGTCTGATGGGTAGTTAAATTACGCGACAAATATGAAAGGTTGAGAAATACAGTTATAGAAACTAATGTAGCTAAGAAGTCGAAAAGGGAAAGGGAGAAACCTGAAGCCTAAGCACGGAGACTTTTGAAACTCCTATCGCCACATGCTACCGACAATACAACACAAACAAAAACTAAGACAATACAATACAAACACAAACTAAACAGAAACTACCAAAACCCGGGGCTAGTACCCGATATTGAGAACGGAAATAACGGTAGCCAAAACACATTTCTAAAAAATTGGTCTGGACAGCTCTAATAAAACATCACCATCTTCAAACTGAAAAACTTCATCTTCACCAAGCAATATTTCATCTGATGTAAACGAATAGAAGACTCCTACAATACTAAAAAAATTGAAAGAATAAGATGAACAAATAATCCATATGAACTGAGCACTTCCTCTCATCCAAGGCTCAGACAATAATCCGGTACGGAAGAAGTTCCTAAAAACTCTACTGGAAATCTACACAAATTTCGTCATCCAACTCCTAAAATAGATAAAATTAAGCAATGTAAGAGAAACCCCTGTACCTATTCCCTTAAGCTTCCAACCTAGTTTACATGAACCATTTTTTATTTTTAAAAAAAATGCAGTAATTACCTTTAAATCTGTAAGTGGAGTCGAAGGCGAGGCGGTGTCCCGAAGGCAGTGTCGGAGGTGACTCACAGTCTCAGGCGAGGCGCGGAGATGTCCGAGGCGAGACGAGGAGGATGTTTCGAGATAGAGAAATGAGACCAATATAATATATTATTTAGTATTTACTTTATTATTATATATAAATATTTAAAAAAAAAAAAAGCAGGCCGGGTCAGGGCAAGCGGGATTTGTTACCCGGACCTAAATGACACGCGCCCATCAACTGATTTTGTTGATGTTATTGGGCTTAAAGGTTTAATTACTTATTACGTGAATTGGGCCAAGTAGTTTAGCCTAGTTGTAGAAAATAAAATAAATATTATCTAGCTCAATAATTAATTAAGATGATATGTGTAGGGCTATTGTAGGTAATTACATGCCGTTCCATGATGAGTTTGTTATGTATTGATTGAGTGCATCAGAAATGGAAGAAAAAGATTTGTCAATGCACTTTCTCTCTTCCCGTACACGAAACACCACAATTACCATTGAATGCATAATCCAATCACCATCTAATTACAACAAGGTTTAGAAAGCAAATAATAAACTTCAATCCCATATTTTTTGCGAACTTAATTAGAGTTTTTTATTTGATAAAAAAGAGTTTTTTATTAGAGTTCTGACCGAAAACACTAATTTAAGGGCGTGAAATCCCCATTTCTTCACTTCATTTTATGTGTAAGGATGAAGTAAATCTAACCCTCGTCTTCTCCTTCATTTTGAAATCCACATTTCTTCATTTCATCCCCCAAAATCTCCTGCATTTCAACCTGTTTCATATGTAGAATAAATGTATTTAACTCTAAAAATGTATAGCTTAATTAAAAAAATAAATATTATACCTTGGACAGGACTAGATTTTGAAACAAGAAGATACATTAACATGTTTACACTGAAAAACTGATTATTATTGCTGTATATAAAGCGTTTTCTGACATTCCTCCACAAGATGATAAAAACAATCTCAATACTGTAAAGTAAGAAACTATAGGTGTCACACATAACTGTAAAATCTTGCATTGCATCCATAATACCTTAGGGGACAACAAATATTCCAAAATTATCAGGACTCTTTGAGAAAAAAACGAGCAGCACCCAAATCAAATTTGGTTAAATTATCGAACCTGATAATTTTCATAGATGAGAAGCATTCCAACTTTCACCACGCACCCAGCTTTTGAGAGATACCATCTCCTCCAGCCCTGAAAATTGTGCAATAGAAAAGTATTTCTGCACTGTAACATAAAATAAACTCGTGCAGATTGGAGAATCGACTGCGCAAAGTCGACAGGAACTGGCCAACCAGATATTTTTTAAAAATTTTCCAACTCGTATTGAACTTCAGATAAGATTGCACACATGTGAATTTTCTTTTGATTTTATTCAAGTAAACTACAAGACATACAACAGAGTATAAGGACTAGTCTGGACTAGAAGGGGCAAATGGAAAGGAAAGGGGGAAAAAAAATCGGATATCTTATCCACCTCCAACAGGAAGAAACATTAGTCCTACACCAGCAACAGAATACAATCTCCAAAGACACAATCACCACCTGAATACTTAAGAACTAACATTTTTTTTTATCATCCAACAGTTAAAAATCAAGCTTAATCCCACGTGAACATGAGCTTGCATTCTACAGATTGTCGATGAAACAACTGGATTCTCTCGAGCGTGTCAGGTGTTCTCTCCATGAAAAAGGCCGGGAGATGAATCTCTTTTACCCAAAAATCAAGAATCCTGTTTAAATGGAAGGTGTTATATGAATGGCATTAAAGTAAATACTCTAGTAAAGTTAAAAAAATATGCATGTTTCTCCAGTATTTGCTAGAGAAAGTTACTGAACTAGGCTTCCGCATTGAGTTTGTTGAAAGAAAGTTTGTAAGGAACAATGAGCTCCCATTGATGCGTAATTTCCGTTTGTATGCTGAAAATACTATAGGATACAAGCATATAAGTTTGGTCTAGATGATGATCAGGTTCGGATCATGAAAGCATACAGTACATTCCAACTATTTTCACATAATCATGACGACCTGGTTCAAATTAGTGATGGCATAATCGAACCATATATTTCTAGATTATTTACTGTGTATAAAATGTACTAATAAAGTAAGACTGAACATAACACTTGGGAGTTTTTCAATCAATTGGTACTTGCTAATAAATGAGCAGCTGCTACTGCAACAAGGGTGGGTAAAAATGCCACTAAAACTTGAGAAACACTTGAACATAACACTTGGAAGTTTATGAATCATCGTCTTCGTCGTCTCACAACCGCAAGAAACATAAGCAAGTCGAAATAGTTACTACATAAGTTGAAAAACATTCGGTTGTCAGAATGCAGACATCAGTACTTACGACATAATAAGATCTCAAGCCAATCACTCAGAATAGGGAAGGAAGGCAAGCTGACATGCTTTGGATCCTTGCTCAAACAATGAAATTCTCTGAAGCGCTTGGAATTTCTTTTTCAGATCAATACATTCATACAATAGTTCCATCCTCTCCAATACTCGAGAATTCCTCAAAAGATATCTCACCATGTCAAATTCATGCTCTTTGAACCGCATCCAGTAAATAGTCATAGTTCGTAGACATGATAATAGGCATTTAGGCACTTGTTCGGGCTCCGGACACAAATATCCCTTTCTAGAATAAACCTGCTCACACAAAAAGGAGCATAACAAAATGAGTAAAACAAAAGGAGCTATTGCTGCAAGAAAAACGAGAAACGGCTAAAAGACAAGTTCAATTGCATCAAAGATAAACTTCACTTACAATAAGGACTTCAAGATTATCAGCAACTTCGAGGAACTTTACCAGCAAACTCCATTTCACATGTACTTGGAGTTTAAGTTTGGTTAAATTATCAAACTTTACATTTGAACCAAAAACTCCTCTTTGCATAAACTGAAAAAAAAAAAAATTAAACCACAAAATTCATATATATATATATATATATATAAGAACCAAGCTGAACGAAAACTAGTTGATAGGAGGTTCTAAGAGACTGAAGAATCAAAACATACCTCCTCAAATTCCCAAACTGATATCATCAGGCACTTTACATAACACAGAGAATGAAGAAACTTCACCACCGTGGAATAATTCGTTTTGAGATGTAAGAGCGAATTATCTTCTAATTGGATTTCCCTCTCAACTAAGGAGATCATGGTTATAGGAATTGTTATACACTCCAAAGCATAGTTATCCACTTGGAGATACCTAAGTGCCGGGGCATTTATTATAATTCTATATTCAATGTTAAATCCAGAAGAACGGTCAATATCGAGCATAAGCGTCTTTATTGTGGGTGATGATATATTTATGCAGCCCACATAATCATAATCATGTTCGTCCACAAACGTGAATGTCATATTCAACTCCTCGAGCGACGGACAGCCGGCAAGAAAGCGAGGAAGCGCATCATCATTCTCACACACAACGTTATAAACATATAACTTCTTGAGGCTAGGCAGAGAGACATTGTCCATAGCAGAGAGTGGGGCTCTATTGTTATCAAGCTTCAAGTCGACAATGGTTTTGCAGTTGAAGAGGGATCGAGGGATTATATCAGAGTCCAGTTTAAGATAAAGATTTTGGATACCACGCTCGATGGCGGTCATAATCCATGTCTCCAGTTGATACTCGTTGCATTTGAAGTTACAGAGTGCTAAAGTATCCATTCTTTTTGCCTTGTGCTGCAATATAACCCTATGGATGATGTCCGAGGCTTGTGTTCCTTCTTCCCTGAAATCGTCTTCACTGAAATGCAGAGAGAGTACATGGGCCCATAGAAACCTCCATCTTTTTCCGAGAACACTGGTCGCCATTGAGAGCTTTGTCGGGAGGAAAGAGAGAATGTGGCATATGGCTTCATCCGGCAAGCTGCTGAGCTTATCCATTGAGGCCATGTTTTGCTCCTCTCCGAAATTCTGACAAAGGGCACCTGATTTTCACAACCTCAAACCAAGGCAGTAGCATTCAAAGTGTACCAGGATTCAGATATTGTCTGTCTAATGGGTAGTTAAATTTTAAGTCTAATGTGAAGAAGATGATGAGACAAATATGAACAGGTTGAGAAATACAGTTAACAGTAGAGCATTTATTTAGCAACTAATGTAGCTAAGGGAGAAACCTGAAACCTAAAAGCCTAAACACGAAGATTCTTGCAATTCCTATCGCCACATGCTGCCGACAATACAACAAAAACGCTAACTAAGATAATACCAAAGCCCGGGAAAGAAGACCGGATATTGGGAGATACAATTGTCAATTGTAAGATAGTGATACATTGATAAAGAAAAATAGCTTTATAAGCTACGTTTACCTTGAAAATTCAATGGTCATATCCAAACTAACATTTCAAAAGGCTTTGATACGTCCCAGAAGGACACTGGTCGGGAATTGGCCGGAGTTGAGGAGACGAATGGGAAAGACGAATTGGTCGGGAATTGGCCGGAGTTGAGGAGACTGGACATTGGGGCTGAAGGACACGCGTCTATCAACTGATTCTCTATTGGGCTTAGTGGTTAAATTACTTATTACGAATTGGGCCCAAGTAGTTTAGCCTAGTTGTAGCAACAAATATTATTTAGCCCAATAATTTATTAAGATGTCCAATAATTAATAAAGATAGAATGCATAAGACTATCCTTATCCCCAACCCAACCCAACCCAACCTAACCTAACAAATAAAAATTATTTCTCTTTCCTCCAACTACACAACTCAACTTTACAACTTAATTTATCTTTATCCTCAACCCAACTCAACCTAAATACTTATTTTATTTTAATTTATTTAAAAATTACAATTGTGTTCTAAAATATATCATGTGTGACCTCTATTTGTAGAGAATAAAAAAATATGAATTTTAATATTTTTTTTAAATAAAAAAAAATTACATTTGTCCAATAAAAATGGAACAAATGTCCCATTATTCTCCAATATCCGGTCGCGACCCGAGGTCACATTGTGACCTGGGTCGCAGCAATTTGTGACCTTTTCCCTTTTCTTTTTATTCCTTTTTTTTTATTTTATTCCCGTGACCCATTCATTAGGTCACGGATAAAGGTAGTCTAAGTAGAAATGTATCGTGTAGGGAATTATATGTGGTTCCGTGTGAGAGTTTTGTTATGTAATAAGTCTAAACTCTAATTTTTTTTTTAAAAAAAAAAAAACATAGGAACGTCGTTGAAGAATAATTCAACATAAAATTTTCACAACACTATATAAATTGTTATTTACCAGATTATTGTTTACACACCGCTAACACAATCTACAAGCCGAATCAACTGTTACATTATGTTATTAGTTATCCGCTAATAAAATATATTATCAGTAATCCGTTATCAGTTAATAGCCAAATAATGTCTAATATATTTTCAAGTAATCCAAATCATTGTTCAATATTGAATTTTTTCATATTTAAGTTCGCTATGGAGCAGCCGAGGGATACGATGCATGCGTGGGTTCTATGGGTTAATTTGACAATTTAATTGATTATACCGATGTGTGCTTTATGAGCGAATTTGACGACCTAATTTGACTTTATCGGTAGGCTCTATAGGATAATTTGACGACCTAGGTTGACCCTACTAGTGTAGTTTCTATGGGCTAATTTGTCGCAGTACATGCGTGGGTTCTATAACTTTATCGCAGTACGGTGGGGCTAGCTAGTTAGGGTTTTTTTTTTTTTTACACACACATCTCTCGAATATATTTATGCTATTAGCTAGCTAGTTAGGGCTAGCTAGTTAAGGTTAACACTCAACATATACAGTGTTGTTATGCCAACTTAATTTTATTAATATTAATAAAAAGGGCTAGCTAGTTAGGGTTAACACTCAACATGTAATTATTAATATTAATAAGATACAGTATTTATGTTTTTTTTTTATATAAATATACATTATACTTATTCTCGTTCATTATAAAATATTTAATTATTTTTTCATTTTAAATTTGTAGGCATTTCAAGTTTGATTATTTAGCTATTATTTTCAAGAAATATAATATAATTGCTCATTATTTAAAAATAAAGAGAATGATAATTATGAAAGTGATATAAATACTTTTATCTTGTCACATATACTGAAGCCTCAAAACATGCCAATAATATATAAATTGAAGCTTAACCTCAAGACAAAATTAGTTGAAAAATTTTCAATCAAATTTTCTGTTACTTGCTGGTAAATGAGCAGCTACTGCTGCAAGGGTGGGTACTAAAACAGTATAACTTAAGCAACACTGAACATAACACCTGCGAGTTTATGAATCATCATCAAGTTATACAACAGATATTTTCATCGTCTCGCAATTCCAAGAAACATAAGAAAGTCGAAATAGTTACAACAGAACTTGACGAAGATTAGGTTGTCGAATGCAAACATCAGTACTTCCTACATCAGTACTTCCTACATAGTAGGATCTCAAGCCAACCTTTTCAACAAACTGAAAGGAAAACAAGCTGGCAGGCGTTGGATCCTCGCTCAAACATTGAAATTCTCTGAAGCGCTTGGAATTGCATTTCCAGATCAATGTGTCCATGAGGTGGGGTAAATAGTTCCATCCTCTCCAATACTCGAGAATTCCTCAAAAGATATCTTACCATGTCAAATTCATGCTTATTATTGAAAGCCATCCACATACCGATCGGCATCCACTTAATTGTTATAGTTCTTAGACACGATAATAGGCATTTAGGCACTTGTTCAGGCTCCGAACACAAATATCCCTTTCCAAAATCAACCGTATCACACTAAAAGGAGCATAACAAAATGAGTAAATCAAAAGGAGGTGTAAGAAAACACGAGAAACGACTAAAGACAAATTTAATGGCATGAACGATAAATTCCACTTACAATAAGGACTTCAAGGTTATCAGCAACTCCAAGGAACTGTACAAGTAAACTCCATTTGAAGTTTAATCGGAGTTCAAGTTTGGTTAAATTATCAAACTTTACAGTTGAACAAGCAACTCCTCCATGAACAAACTGAAAATATTAAAATAACATTATGCATATATATAACCAAAAAGCTGAAAACTAATTGACAAGGGACCCAAGGGATTGCAGAATAAAAAACATACCTCAATAAGTTCCCAACCTGATATCTTTAGGCACTTTACAAAAGACAGAGAATGAAGAAACATCACCACAGTGGTATTGTAATGCTCTAAGCAGATATCCGCCTCAACTAAGGAGATCATGGTTGTAGGAATTGTTATACACTCCAATTCATAGCCATTCACTTGGAGATACGTAAGGGCCGGGGCATTTAATATCATCCTATATTCAAAGTTCGATGAAGAAGGCAAATCGTCAAGATCGAGCTTAAGCTTCTTTATTGTGGGTGATGATATATTTATGCAGCCGACAGAATCATTATCAAATGGTCCCTCCTCCACATATGTGAAAACCATATTCAAGTCCTCAAGCGACGGACAGCTGGAAAGAAAGTGAGGGAGGGCTTCATCATTCTCGTACACAACCTTAGATACATGGAACTTCTTGAGGCTAGGCAGTGTGACATTGTCCACAGAAGACAGTGACAGTGACGCTCCATAGATATGAAGCTTCAAGTCGACAATGGTTTTGCATTTGAAGATGTATCGAGGGAATGTATCCAAATCAAGATCAAGATAAAGATTCTTGATACCACGGTCGATGGCAGTTGTAATTGATGTTTCCAATTGATACTCGTTGAATTTGATGTAAGAGAGTGTTAAAGTATCCATTCTTTTTGCCTTGGGCCGCAAAGAGAGTGTTAAAGTATCCATTCTTTTTGCCTTGTGCCGCAATATAACCCTGCGGATGATGTCCGAGGCTTGTATTACTTCTTCGTCCGAGTCTTGTGTTTCTTCTTCCGAGAAATCGTCCGAGTCTTCTTCCGAGAAATCGTCTGAGTCTTGTGTTCCTTCTTTCCTGAAATCGAATACACTGAAATGCAAACAGGGTACATGGGCCCATAGAAACCTCCATCTTTTTCCGAGAATGCTGGTAGACACTGAGCGCTTTGTCGGGAGGAAAGAGAGAATGTGGCATATGACTTCATCCGGCAAGCTGCTCAGCCTATCGATTGAGGCCATTTTTTGCTCTCTATCCGAAACTCTTACAAAGGGCATCTGATTTTCACAACTTCAAACCAACCAAGGCAGTAGCATTCAGAAGGTCCTAGGATTCAGGTTTAGCAACTAATGGCAACACTTAACAGCTAAGAAGTCGAAAAGGGCAAGAGAGAACCTTGAAACCTGAAGCCTACACACGGAGACTCTTGCAATTCCTATACAATACAACACAAACGCAAACTAAGATAATACAACACAAACACAAACTAAACAGAAACTACAAAACCCCGGGAAATAAGACCGGATATTGGGAGATACAATTGTCAATTGTAAGATAATGTTAAATTGATCAAGAAAATAGATTTATAAGCTACGATTACCTTGAAACTTCAGTGGTCATATCCCAATTAACATTTCAAAAAGCTTCTTTACGTCCCAGGAGGACACTGGTCTGGAATTGGCCGGAGTTGAGTAGATGATGGGAAACACGACGATGTAGAAATGGATATTAGGGCTGAAGGATCTATCAACTGATTCTCAATTGGGCTTAAAAAATCAATTGCTTATTACAAATTGGGCTAAGTAGTTTAGCCTAATTGTAGCAACAAATAATATTATTTAGCCCAATAACTAATCAAGATGCCCAATAAGGGTATTGTAGGGAATTATATGCTCAATCAGCTATCGACTATCCGCTAATAAATATGTTGTCAATTATCTGCTTTTTGCTAATAGCCAAACAATGTCTAATATATTTTCAAGTAATTCAATTCATTGGTCAACCCTGAATTTTCTATCATTTTTGAGTTCGCCATGGGGGCAGCTGAGGGACACGATGCCTATTTTGACGACCTATTTTGACTTATATAAGTGTGGGCTCTATGGGTTAATTTAACGACCTAATTGATTATATCAATGTGTGCTTTATGAGCTAATTTTGACGACCAATTTGACTTTACCAATAGGCTCTATAGGACAAATTTGACGACCCAGTTCGATCCTATTTGTGTGGATTCAATGCGGGCGCTGTTCATATGGATTTCAGAAGTTGGACATTGGACAATCAATCATGCAGATATATGATGATTTAAATTTCGAAACTCTATCCATAACGATAAGGCGAAATTCACTTGATTATATGTCATATAGACTAAAGAAATATGCTAATTATATTAGATTTTATTGATGTAATTAAAATATATAAACCTATTAAAATTTATTTATATCAATAAAAATGTATTAGTGGACTAATAAATTAACGTACAAACTAGTCTTTTAAGGACCCAAACTAAATAGCTTGGACAATAATTTGTCGAAACTAAATTGATTGACAAATATTAAAAAATATTTTTATTGCCTTTTAAGTTATATGAATCTATTCGACTCATTCAACATGTATGGAGTTCAAATATATTGTCACATGCAAGTAAAGATTAAGGGACCCAACTCGACTCGCGATGCATCGTAGATTCGTAGATTTTGAGTGTCGATGAGTTGTCTTAGACGAAATCAATAACATTTGAATATAGTAATTTTTGTACGATTGATTGTTTTATCCAATTTCGCAAACCTACTCGCTCCGCCTCAAGTTACTAAACAACAAACGAAAAAATATCACAACACTAATAATCATCATCATCATCATCATCATCAACATCATCATTATTAATATATTAATTCACCCTTATCACATTAATGATAAAATATTTTTTTGGACATTTTTTTGGGTTAACTAAATAAAAGTGTTCCATTTTATATTAATTGAGTAATAATTATATTTTTATTATATCATATAACTGTTATTATTAAAATTAATAATTATATTTTACACTTAATGATATATCAAAGTTACATAAACGTGAAATTATATTGTAAAAACTTTTTGTTCAAATTATTATTCTAAATTTAATATTATATTTTTTTACTTGATTAAGAGATTGTTTTGAAATAAATTAATTTGTTTTAATGTCATAGTAATATTTCTTAAAATCGCATAAGCAATTGTTATATTAAATTTAATACTTTTTAGCTAATTAATTGTTCTTGATCCCTCAAAATTACAAATATTACATTATTTATTATATTTTATGCAATCAACATAGTGATTCATATGAAATTAAATTGTTATGTATTATTTATTTAATCAATAATCGAATTGAAAAACATAATACCTTTATCTAACTTATAATTTTAATATTATATGCATAAATATAACTTATAATACTCTATATTGAAAATATAATACCACTATAACTTATAATTTTAATATTATATGCATACAAATAACTTATAATATTTTATTTACATATGTGGAAATGCACAAGGTTGAATACTAGTAGAGTGTAACACTCTTGTATCATCAATGCTCTAATAAAAACGTTACACCTGATTTTTAAATGAAGAAAGAAATGTTTTTTTAATTTTTAAATATTTTAGAGACAATTGAATTATTATTTACATTTAAATACATTACGGCTTATCCTTCATATATTATGATAATTTTTAGTTCATACTATATAATAGTTTTGATAAAATAAGTAATTAATAACTAAATTGATGAATTTTGATTAATATTGAAAAGCACTTCAATTTTCATTATAAATATACACACACACACAATGCTAATATCAGATTAAAGTGATAATTAATTCGGTATATTATATATGAAAAATCTGATAATATTTTTAAAAAATCATTAATATTTAAAAAATTAATAATTTATATTCAATAAATATTTATACTTTCAGAAATTATAATGTACATGGACATAGATAGGGAGATCTTTCATATCTTCCGAGATCCACCCTACAATATGGGGTACTACTCCATAACACAAATTAAAATCACAAAAATAAAAAAATATCAATAAGTAACTCTTCAAAAGCAACTCGATCACGACAAAAGTGCAGCAAAGAACACAATCGCGCCATCGCCATACACGTTGAGCACCTTGCCGGATGACCTTCTCCTCTGCATCCTCTCTCTCCTCCCCACAAACGTATTCGTCTCGACCAACACGACAGTGCCCTAGCAAGAAGATGGAGGACCCATCTCGATAATCCCCCCAAATTTAGAATTCCACTCCTAATCCATCTCGGCCCGATTACCCGTTGAAAAATGGCTCGACGCCGTCCGTGGTGCGCTCCGTCAGCACAGTGCCTGAAATTTAGAGGGTGAGTGGATATAAATCATATTCAATCACTTTTGCTCAATCACATTTTAACTTAACTCAACTCTCCTCAATATTATTAACATAATTAAACAAATCGGTCACTCATTCTCACACATCACATCATCGTTAATTTACTATTCATCCATTCACATAATTTTAACTACTCATCACTTTCAATCATTTCTTTCCTACTTTTGCGTGAAATGAACTTTAATCATTTTTTTTTTCAAATATTATTTTAATACAAACTCAATCATTTATATCCAAGCAACCGCTTAGCATCCTTCGCCCTTGACGGTGTACCCTTGACGGTGTATATAGATTGTGTAATTGCTATCAATCTTATTTTATGGTGAATATGAATTGGAGGGTCAGGGCCCCAACTATTTTATTGTGAAGTTTCTTGATTATCTATGCAACAATGTGACCAGCCTCAGCATATGGTGTTACGCTAGCAAAGAAGTGTGTGTGCTGTTTGTAATGTCTTTCTTAAAATTATGGTGCATTAAGTAGATTTAAACAACCGAAAAATATTATTGTGCATTAAGTAGATTTAAACAGGTCCAAATAAGAGGTCGACTAACTCCACGGTCAGCAGTTGATACAAATACTTATGAGTTATGAGTTTCTGAATCACCATCACATCAAACTTGTTTTCTAGTCATTGCAAAGATAGTATAAAACAAATGGGTTAAAAATAGTTATTACAGCTTGTTAAGGAACAAACCATTCAACAACCTGAATAGAAGCCGAGCTGGCATGCCGTCGATCCTCGCTCAAACAATGAAATTCTCTCAAGCGCATCAAATGCCATCTTTAAATTGTTGCCTTCGCTTAAATTATTCGGAACTGACTTGTCATCTAGGGGTATTATTTCCATCTTCTCCAATACTCGAGAATGCTTCAAAAGATATCTCACCATGTCAAATTCCCCCTCTTCAAACTGCCTTATCTTAATTGTTATAGTTCTGAGACTTGATAGGAAGCAAGTTGGCACTTCTTTGGGCTCCGTAAAAAGGGATGTCATATGTATTTCAATCTGATGACCACATAAGAAAGAAGCAATTGATGTGAGAAAGGAGAAACACTAAAGATTTTTTTTTTTTTAATAAATAGCTATAATAACAGGGAACTTTTATCAACCAGTCAACACTCTTAGACCTACCACTTGAGCTTTAAGCTCGTGGTAACTAAAGAACAATTTAACTACAGCAGCAAAATCCACTTACAATAAGGAGTTGAAGATTATCAGCACCTTCAAGTAAATCTACAAGCAAATGCCATTCATCACTCAATTCGAGTTCAAGTTTGGTTAAGTTACCAAATTTTACTAATGAACCAGCAAATCCTATTTCGAAAACCTGTAAAAAGAAAAAAATCAACTTAGAACCATAGAAAGTGTGCATAAAGTTGATCTGCGATTAATTTACTTGATATGACGAGAAATCATAGTATACCTCCTCGGCTCCATAACTTGTCATCCTTAGGCATTTGACATTACAAAGAGAATCAAGAAATTTCACCACATTGGAATTACTGCCGATGTCCACAAACAAGTAGAAAGGTCCTTCAACGCGGATGCACGCCTCGGCTAAGGAGGTCATATTCGCCAAATTTGTGACGCAACCCAAATGACAGTTAACCATACAAAGATATCTGAGTGCCTTTGCATTTATTAAAATCCTATAATCAGGGATATCATCTTCGAACATATGTACAAGATCGATCTTAAGTTTTTTCAGAGTGGGTGAAGATACATTAATGCAGCCTAAATATTTTTCTTTCTCTCTCAAGTGAACACACATGGACAACTTCTCGAGCAAAGGACAGCCGGAAAGTAAGTGAGGAAGGGCTTCATCATTCTCAAAATCAGCATCATAAAGATAAAGCTTCTTAAGGCTAGGTAAATGTATGTACAGACTTGACCGGATTTCTACACATCGATAAATTCTCATATCGACAATGGTTTGGCAGGTGAAGAGGGGACGCGGGGGACAAATACCCATATGAAGGTGCACGTCAAGATAGAGATTTCGGACATTACGCTTGATGGCAAAATTAATCCATGTCTCTAGATGATACTCGTTGCAGTCCATAAAGTCGAAATCGAGCATAAAAGTATCCATTCTCTTCGCCTCATGGAGCAAAATTACTCTATGGATTATGTCCGAATATTTTGTTTGGCCGGTGAAATCATCCTCGCTGATGTCCGAATCTTCTGTTTCGTCGGGGAAATCATTCCTGCTGAAATTCAAACACGGGACGTGGGCCCACAGAAATCTCCATCTTCTTCCGAGAACGCTGGTCGCCACTGAGAGCTTTGTCGAGAGGAAAGAGAGAATGTGGCATTTAACATCGTCAGGCAAACTGCTAAGCCTATCGACTGAGGTCATATTTTGCTCTCCACCCAAAATCTTTTGGCACTTTTCAATCGATCTTCTTGATTCCTCCATGTCAATTCAACAGAAGGTATCTGGGTTTTCACAAGACCCTAACTTTCACTACTTCAAACCAAAATCCTGCATTTAACAGATTTTATAAATGGCACTCACAGAATAAGAATACAATCAGTAAGGCAAATGGAGCAAAAGGACGTACAAATTTCAGCACTTCCCACTCGATCTTGATTCCTCCATGTAAATTCAACAAAAATTCAACAAAAGGCATCCAGGTTTTCACAAGCCCCTAACTTTCACTACTTCAAATCTCCTGTGTAATTTAAATGGCTTTTATCAATAGTATTCACAAAATAAGAATATAATCAGTATGGCAAATGAAGAAAACGGAAAAAAATTCTAACCAGCTAAGTACACGTAAATCTGAAAGGCTCCCCCCTTTGACAATGTTTCGCTGATAACCAGTTAACTATCCGGAATCTTTTGGCACTTTCCACTCAATCGTCTTGATTTCTCCATGTAAATTGGACGGCGGGTATCCGGGTTTTCACAAGCTCCGAACTTTCACTACTTCAAGCCCACAAAACACTGCGTAATGTAAGAGGCGTTTATCCATAGCATTCACAGAACAATAATACAATCAATATGGCTAATGGAGAAAAGGGGCATAGAAAACCTAACCAGCTAACCACCCGAAAATCTGTAAAACGCTTCCAATTAATTTGTGGGGACAATTTGTAGAGATGAATAAGAACCAGCTAAACAAACTTCAAAACAGCACCAATTTTGTGCTATGAAAGGTATAGCTGAAAATTCGATTAGGGGAAAGAGAACCAAACCCGAAAACCTCCAGCTCCAATCTTGCGATTCGGGTCCGACTTGGGTTCGTATTGAGATCCGGCTCGGGTTCGGGTTCGGGTTCGGATTCGGATAGGGTAGCCTTGGAGCATTCCGACTCCCAAGTCCCAACGGCTGTGGAAACAGAAATGAAAGAAGGAAAGGCGGCTGAGGATGTAATTTGAACAAATTAGAGAAAATGAGAAAGGAAAAATTCAACTGTACGATTGATGAGTTTTAACTTTTAACTTTCATGTTTCATCGACAGTGGTATGGAGATTGTGGCTCTAAAATACCTAATAAATGTGAAAAATGTATGTTTCTTTATGTTTGCTTCCATATAACTGAGTTTAAATCTTAACGAGCCAAAATATAAAAAATCTTACTTTCAAGCCAAGCCGAGTACAATTCATTAATGAATAGGGCTTTTGTTCGAGCTCGAGCAATGTGAAAAATGGTTTTGGAGGGCAAGGCAACATTAACATAACTCTGAAATGTATGTTTTAGTAATTGGAAATTGGAATTTTACTAGGAGTACAATTTTTTGTGAAGAAGTGGTGGATATATGAATTTATTAATAACAAGTCCAAATTTAACTAAATTTTCTATTTTGTGCCTATTGGAACGAGCCAAACTTGAGCATTTTGAGTTCATATTAGATTATGTACGAACATTAATCTTTTTCATTCTTTTATTTTACATCTTTGTTTAGTTGTTCGTCAAATTTCGAGTTTGTACGTACACGAAAAATATAGTTAACAAACTTTTTTCGAATAATGTTCACGAACATATCGAACTTTCGCGAACGAGTTGTTGTTCGTTCGACTATTAAACAAACCTAGTTCTATGTCTCGACTCGATTAACAAACGAACGAACGAGCTCTTGTTGAACATAAACAAGCTCAAAATAAGCTCTGCTCGCGATCATTCTGTTAATTAACAGTCCTAGTAAATAGTTACAAATCCAAAGAAGAGGTCAACTAATTCCCTTCAGCAGTTGATTACAACACTTATAAGTTTATGAATCATCATCACAACGTACTTAATTTCTCTGTCATTGCAAAATAGAACAAAACAGGTAACAAATAAACACAGCTAGTACAGCTTTTTAAGAAACGACTTATGTTCACTGTGCCAAAACACACTTAGTTCAACCGTCTGTTCAACAACCCGAATAGAAGGCAAGCTTACATGTCACTGATCCTCGCTCAAACAATGAGATTCTCTGAAGCGCATCGAATGCTACCTTTAAATTGCCTTCGCTTAAATCACTTGGAATCGAATCTTCATCTAGGGGTAATATTGTCATCTCCTCCAGTACTTGAGAATTCTTCAAGAGATACCTCACAAGGTTAAAATCATCCTCTCCAATACACATTACCTTAATTGTTATAGTTCTGAGACTTGATAATAGGCATGTTGGCACTTGATTGGGCTCCATAAAGGATATCGATTTTATTTCAAGCTGATGACCAAAAAGGTAAATAAATAAATAAATAAAAGGCCATTGCTGTGAGAAAGGAGAGAAAGAGCAAAAGAACAACAATTTAATTAGATTAGCAAACTCCACTTACAATAAGGGCTTCAAGATTATCAGCAACTTCAAGTAAATGTACAAGCAAATGCCATCTAGCACTCGATTGGAGTTCAAGTTTGGTTAAATTACCAAATTTTACTAATGAGCCAGCAAATCCTAATGGGAGAACCTGCTAATGAAAAATCAACTTAGAACCACAGAAAACAAGTATAAGAGGATTAATAGAATGGAGGCTCTAGAAGAGATTGAAATATGTCGAAAAATTATGACATACCTCCTCGCCTCCATAACTTGATATCTTTAGACATTTGACATTACAAAGACAATCAAGAAATTTCACCACATTGGAATAGCTCTCGCTGTTCATATACAAGTAGAAATCGTATTGAAAGAAGATGCACGCCTCATCTAACGAGGTCATAGTTGTCGAATTTGTGATGCGCCCCAAAGGACAATTACCCATATAGAGATATCTAAGTGCCTTTGCATTTATTACAATCCCATAGACAGGGATATCTTCGTAAACATGTAGAAGACAGACATCAAGAGTTTCCAACGAGGGTGAAGATATATTAATGCAGCCTAATTTTTTTTCATTTCCTATGAAACTATAAACCAAGGTCAACTTCTTGAGCAAAGGACAGCCGGAAAGCAAGTGAGTAAGAGCTTCATCATCCTCAAACTCAACAAGATCAAGAACAAGCTTTCTTAGGCTAGGCAAATGTATGTTCACACTTGACGAGATACGTTTACCTCCGGAAAGTCTCATATCAACAACGGTTTTGCAGGTGAAGAGGGGACTCAGGAGCATTAATCTGTCCCCAAATCCATAAAGAGCAAGATATATATCCCGGATATTACGCTTGATGGCAGCACTAATCCATGTCTCGAGTTGATACTCGTTGCAGTTCACTAAACTGAGCCTAAAAGTATTCATTCTCTTCGCCTCGTGGAGCAAAATGAATCGATTGATGATGTCCGAATGCTCTGTTTCGCCGGTTAAATCGTTTCCACTGAAGTCCAAACAGGGGACGTGGGCCCACAAAAACCTCCATCTTTTTCCGAGAACACTGGTCGCCACTGAGAGCTTTGTCGGGAGGAAAGAGAGAATGTGGCATATGACGCCATCCAGCAAGCTGCTAAGCCTATTGACTGATGAGATCATATTTTGCTCTCCACCCGAAATCTTTTGGCACTTTCCACTCGATCATCTTGATTCCTCCATGTAAATTCAACAAAAGGTATCCGGGTTTTTACAAGCCCCTAACTTTTCCTGCTTCAAACCAAAATCCTGCATAATTTAACAGGCTTTTATCAATGGCAGACACAGAATAAGAATACAATCAGTATGGCAAATGGAGAAAAAGGACATAAAAAATCTAACCAGCTAACTACACAAAAGTCTGATCAAGGCTCCCCTTTCTGTCGAAGTTTCGCTGATGACCAGTTAACTATCTGAAATGTTTTGGCACTTTCCACTCGATCGTCTTTATTCCTCCATGTAAATGGGACGGCGGTTTTAAAAACCCTGCACTTTCACTACTTCAAAACCACAAAACCCTGTATAATTTCAGAGGCATTTATCCATAGCATTCACAGAACAACAATACAATCTTAGTTGCTAATGGAGAAAAGGGGCATCGAAAATCTAACCAGCTAACCCCACGAAAATCTGGAAAACGCTCCCCAGTTAATTTGTGGGGTTAATTTGTAGAGATGATTAAAAACTTGTTAAACAAACTTGAAAACAGTAGCATTTTTGTGCTATGAAAGGTATAGCTGAAAATTCGATTAGGGCAAAGAGAACCAAACCAGAAAACCTCCAGCTCCAATCTTGTGATTAGGGTTCGACTTGGGTTCGTATTCAGATCTGGTTAGGGTTCGGGTTCGGATTGGGTAGTCTTGGATTGGAGCATTCCGACTTCCCAACGGCGGTGGAAACAGAAATGAAAGAGGGAAGATGGCTGAGGATGTGATTTTGAACAAATTTAGATAAAGGAAAAATGTGAAAAATGTATGTTTCTTTATGTTTGTCTTGATTGGGTTGGAATCTTAACAAGCTAAAATATAAAAAATTATATAAAAAAAATTTAAATTTTGAGCTGAGCCAAGCCAAGCCTAACCCATTAATAAATGGAGCTTTGTTTCGAGTTCGAGCCATGTAAGACTAAGGTGGACAATGGTTTTTGAGGGCAAGGCAACATTAACACAACTCGAAATGTATGTTTTAGTTAGTGCCGCGAACGAATTGTAGGTTCGCGAACGAAAGTTCGTTCGTGTTCGTTTAGGGCTCGTTCATTTAATAATCAAGACAAGCTCAATACATGTAATTCATCTCGGTTATTATTCGAAAGAACACAAACACGTTCGCGAACATAAACGAGTGTTAACGAACAACCAAAATAATAATAATAATAATAAAGTAAATAAGCATTTCTTAAGTTTTGATAATCGAACAATTCGAGTTAATCGAACGCTCGAAAAGCTCAAATAATTTCGATTAGCAAAACAAGCCGCACACGAACTTAGCGAACAACTAAACGAACGAAAATGAATATAAATTTAGGCTCGACTAATAAACGAACGAACTCTAACAAGCTTGAATATTAGTTGAACTCGAGCTCAAACAGCCCAAGCTCGGTTCGATTCGCTTACAGCACTAGTTTTAGTAATTGGACATTGGAATTTTACTAGGAGGAAATTCACAATTTTTTGTGAAGAAGTGGTGCCAATCTTGAATTTATTTATAACAAGTCCAAATTTAACTTTTCTATTTTGTGCCTACTTTGACGAGCTAAACTTAGGCATTTCGAGCTCGTATTAGATTATGTACGTACACTAATCTTGTTCGTTCTTTTATTTCACGAGGTAAAGTACACTAATCTTGTTCGTTCTTTTATTTCACGAGCTAAAATAATGTTCAAACCTGTTCGTTTAATTGTTCATCAAATTTTGAGTTTGTGCGTGCTCGGAAAATTTTAGTTAACAAACTTTATCGAATAATGTTCACGAACATTTGCGAACGGGTTCTTGGTCGTTCGACAATTATACAAACCTAACGTTATGTATAGGCTCGATTAACAAACAAATGAGCTCTTGTTAAACTCGAACAAACTCGAATTAGCTCTGCTCCATTTGGTTCATTAACAATCCTAGTAAATAGTAACAAGTCTAACGAAGACGTCAACTAATTCCCTTCATCATCACAACATACTTAATTTATCTGTCATTGCAAAATAGTACAAAACAAATAACAAATAACACAGTTCGTACAACTTTTTAAGGAAAAAAACTTATGATCACTGTGCCAAAACTCGCTTAGTTCAACTGTCTGTTCAACAACCCAAATAGAAGGCAAGCTTACATGTCATTGATCCTTGCTCAAACAATGAGATTCTCTGAAGCGCATCGAATGCTACCATTAAATTGCCTTCGCTTAAATCACTTGAAATCGAATTGTCATCTAAGGGTAATATTTTCATCTCCTCCAGTACTTGAGAATTCTTCAAGAGATACCTCACAATGTTAAATACATCCTCTCCAATACACATTACCTTAATTGTTATAGTTCTGAGACTTGATAATAGGCATGTTGGCACTTGATTGGGCTCCATAAAGGATATTGTTTCTATTTCAACCTGATGACCAAAAAAAAATTAATAATAATAATAAAAGTCCATTGCTGTGAGAAAGGAGAGAAGAGCAAAAAGACAATTTAATTAGATTAGCAAACTTCACTTACAATAAGGGCTTGAAGATTATCAGCAACTTCAAGTAAATGTACAAGCAAATGCCATTTAGCACATGATTGAAGTTCAAGTTTGGTTAAATTACCAAATTTTACTAATGAGCCAGCAAATCCTAATGGGAGAACCTGCGAATGAAAAATCAACTTAGAACCACAAAAATTAATTGAATGGAGGCTTTAGAAGAGATTGAGATGTCGAAAAATTATGGCATACCTCCTCGCCTCCATAACTCGATATCTGTAGACATTTGACGTTACAAAGACAGTCAAGAAATTTCACCACATTGGAATAGCTATCGCTGTTCATGTACATGTAGAAATTGTATTGAAAGTCGATGAACGCCTCAGCTAAGGAGGTCATAGCTGTCGAATTTGTGATGCGCCCCAAAGGACAATTATCCATATAGAGATATCTAAGTGCCTTTGCGTTTATTAAAATTTCATAGACAGGGAAAACTTCGTAATCATGTATAAGATAGACATCAAGTATTTCCAACGAGGGTGAAGATATATTAATGCAGCCTAATTTTTTTTCATTCTCTCCGAAGCTATAAATCAAGTTCAACTCCTTGAGCAAAGGACAGCCGGAAAGCAAGCGAGGAAGGGCTTCATCATCCTCAAACTCAACATGAATAAGAACAAGCTTTCTTAGGCTAGGCAAATGTATGTCCATGCTTGACGAGATACATATATCTCCAAAAATTCTCATATCAACAACGGTTTTGCAGGCGAAGACAGGACGCGGGAGCATTAACCTGTCCCCAGACAGATTAAATTCAAGATAAAGATTCAGAATAATACGCCTGATGGCAGCGCTAATCCATGTCTCCAGTTGATACTCGTTGCAGTCCACATAACTGAGCCTAAAAGTATTCGTTTTCTTCGCCTCGTGGAGCAAAATGAATCTATTGATGATGTCCGAATGCTCTGTTTTCCCGGTTAAATCGATTCCACTGAAGTCCAAACAGGGGACGTGGGCCCACAAAAACCTCCATCTTTTTCCGAGAACACTGGTCGCCACTGAGAGCTTTGTCCGGAGGAAAGAGAGAATGTGGCATATGATGCCGTCCGTCGGCACTTTCCACTCGATTGTCTTGATTCCTCCATGTGAATTCAACAGAAGGGTATTCGGCTTAGCCCTTAAATTTTACTACTTCAAACTGCAAAATCGTGTGTAAATTAAGAGGCTTTAACATCAATGGCACAGACAGGTCACTCATGCCATCAATATGGCAAATGGAATGTAGAAGAAAGACATTTTTTTTCTTTTTTGTTCTAACTGCAAGAAAACCTGAAAGGCTCCCCCTTTACGCCGATGTTTTACTCACTATCAACAGTTAACTTGTTGAGACGATGAACAAACTTGAAAAAGGTAGCATCTTCGTTGCTATTGAACTGGGGCAAGGGGAGTAAAACCGTAAAATCCCTAGTAAAGGCTCTCGCGATGAGGGCGCGACTTGGGTCCGGGTTCGGTTCGTGCACTAATTTAAAAATGTGAAAAAGCTCTCCTTTCTATCGAAGTTTCGCTGATGACCAGTTAACTATCCGAAATCTTTTGGCACTTTCGTCTTGATTCTTCCATGTAAATTAGACTGCGGGTATCCGGGTTTTCACAGGCTCCGAACTTTCACTACTTCAAAACCACAAAACCCTGCGTAATTTAAGAGGCGTTTATCCGTAGCATTCACAGAACAATAATACGATTAACATGGCTAATAGAGAAAAGGGATAGGAAATATATAACCATCTAACCCCACAAATATCTGAAAAAGGCTCCCCAGTTAATTTGTGGGGTTAATTCGTAGAGATGATGAGTATAGCTTCAACAAACTTTGCTGAACAAACTTGAAAACAGTAGCATTTTTGTGCTATGAAAGGTATAGCTGAAAGTGAAAACTCGATTAGGGCAAAGAGAACCAAACCTGAAACCTCCAACTACAGCTCCAATGCGATTCGGGTCCGGATTGGGTTCGTATTCAGATCCGGTTAAGGTGCGGGTTTGGATTGGGTAGTCTTGGAGCACGCCGACTCCCAACAGCGGAGGAAACAAAAATGGAAAGGGAATGCGGCTAGGGTGTGACTTGAACGAATTAGAGACAATGAGACAGTAAAATGACAATTTTTATTGAATTCTCCACTGTACTGCTGAGTGATGGGTTTTCAACTTTCAGGATTCATCCCCATGGGTATGGAGATTGCGGCAATGAAAAACCTAATAAATGTGAGAAATGTTGGCTTTTTTTGTTTACTTCCGGGTGTTGCCAACATAGTTCGAGCCATAGCAAAATCAAATTATAAATATATATGTGAAATTTTGATTTCAGGCCTAATCGAGCACAACTTTAACTTTAATGAATTGAGCTTCAAACAAGCTCGAGTTCGAGCCATGACTAATGTGGGGTGGAGGGGAAAGACAACAATAACATAACTCCGAAATTTACAAGATATTATGTTTTTGTAGTTGGAAATTAGAATTTTACTAGGAGAAAAATTTACATTTTTTTTGTGAAATAATGGTGTTAATCTTGAATTTATTTATAACACGTCAAATTTAACTAAAGTTTTTGTTTTGTACCAACCGCTACATTTGTTTTTTAGTAGTTAGTGCAACCAAACGAGCCAAACATAAGCAGAGCACACTATTCAATTGTGTATGAACACTAATCGTGTTCGTGTTTTTTAAGAGTTAAACAATGTGTTCGAACTCGTTTGTTCCTTTAATTGTTCATCAGCGTTTGAGTTTGTTCATGGAATCATGTTCGAATAATTTAGTTAACGGACTTTTTCTAATAGTGTTCACGAACACTGTCAAACGTTCCCGGCAGAGTTTGAGTTTGTTTATTAAACAAGCCTAATATTCTGTTTGACCCCGTTACGATTAATAAACGAACGAACTTTTGTCGAACACGATTCATGAACAAGCTCGAACGAGCTTCTGCTTACGAACATTCGATTCATTAATAGTTCCAGTAAATAGTAATAGTATTTTCTAATCGTGTCATGTCATATTTTATGTCGTGTTAGCCATTGTCACTTTTAGCTATTCACCCACAAAATGAAATCTCAATTGAAATGAACCTCCTTTAGATATATCAACATAATTTTGCAACATGAGATTTCATAAGAAGGTGATGTGCCTTAGAATTTAGATAACTCTATCCTCTCGAGCACTCAACCAAGCATCCACAATGCTTTGAATGCATTAAAAAAAAAATTACAGGACACTTGGCAAATATACTCACTCTCAAAAAATATGTTTTTCAATGCAAGTGGAAGTGCACTGAATTCTAATTCTACTGATGTGGCAGCAACATAAAAAAAAAAAAAAATTCCAATCTACCCATAACTCTATTTTAGACCAAAGTAAAGACATAATCTCTTTGCATTTGAGTAAATTGTTTTACTTTTATATAATTCTATCCATGTCATATACCACTTCAGTCTACTTAGAAAATACCGCCATTAACAAATTTTTCTAACGACAGAAAATATTGTTGTGCATGAAGTAGATTCAAAGAAGAGGTCAACTAATTCCCTGTCAGCACAATTGATATAATAATACTTGAGTTTATGAATCCTCATCACAACAAACTTAATTTGTTGTCATTGCAAGATAGTACAAAACAAAAAGAAAATTAGAAACAGTTGCCACAGCTTTTTAAGGAACAACTTATGATCACTGTGCCAAAACTTGCTAATAAGTTCAGTAGATGATCTGATTGAGCTTGGGACACTTATATGACTTTGGAAAAGGCAGGATTTGGATTATTTTGATTTCTCAATTTGCTTCAGGTTTTTTGGGAGTTTTTGGCAGTAGGGTAAAAGCTTCTGTAATTTATTAGTAGCTTTCTTTTGTATAGGTTGCAGTAGTACCTTGGTAACTCGTGTAAATCCAAGGTTTGTTACCCGTGTATGGGTTTTTGATAGTTGGACAATATTTGTATTTCATATTTTGTTGAGGTGTAATAAAATTTTATCGTTNTAAAAAAAAAAAAAAAAAGAACTGTTCAAAAACCTAAATAGAAAGCAAGCTGACATGTAGCCGATCCTCGCTCAAACAATGAGATCATCTGAAGAGCAAAGAATGCGAACTTTAAATTGCCTTCGCTTAAATTATTTGGAATCGACTCTTCATCGAGGGGTAATATTTCCATCTTCTCCAATACTCGAGAATTCTTCAAAAGATATCTCACCATACGAAATTCCTCCACTTCAAACAGTGTTATCTTAATCGTTATAGTTCTGAGACTTGATAATAAGCATGTCGGCACTCGTTTGGGCTCCGTAAAATGGGATGGCTTTTCTATTTCAATCTGATGACCACAAAAGAAAGAAGCCATTGATGTGAGAAAGGAGAAACACGTAGAAACATTTTTTTTTTAATAATTATAAATTATAGGGAACTTGTATCAACCAGTCCAACACTCTTAGAACTAAAGCACAATTTAACTACATCAGCAAACTCCACTTACAACGAGGACTTGAAGATTATCAGCAGCTTCAAGTAAATCTACAAGCAAATGCCATTTTTCACCCAATTGGAGTTCAAGTTTGGTTAAGTTACCAAATCTTCGTAAATAACCAGCAAATCCTATTTCGAAAACCTGTAAAAAGAAAAAAGAAAAAAAATCAACTTAGAACCAGAAAAAGCGTGTATAAGAACAAACCTGGCGATTAATTGACTGGAGACTCTAAAAGAAACTGATATGACGAGAAGAAATCATAGCATACCTCCTCGACTCCAGAACTTGCTATCATTAGATATTTAACGTTAGAAATAGAATCAAGAAATTTCACCACATTGTAATTGCTGCTTTCATACTCGGTCATATACATATTTTCTCCAACGCGGATGAACGCATCATCTAAGAAGGTCATATTTGCCAAATTCGTGACGCGCCCCAAAGGACAATTAATCATACGAAGATATCTGAGTGCCTTCGCGTTTATTAAAATCCCATAGTCGGGGATAACTTCCGGGATAACATCTCCACAACAACAATAATGTAGAAGATGGATCGAAAGTGTTTTCAACGTGGGTGAAGATATATTAATCCAGCCAAGATTTTTCTCGTTCTTTCCAAAATTATAAAGCAAGATCAAATCCTCGAGCAAAGGACAGCCCGAAAGCAAGTGGGGAAGGGCTTCATCATCCTCAAACTCAACATGATCAAGATGAAGTTTTTTGAGGCTGGGCAAACGTATGTTCCCACTGGACGGGATGCCTTTACATCGATAAATTTTCATATCGACAATGGTTTTGCAGGTGAAGATGGGAAGAGGGAGCATTAATTTTTCATCAAGCAGCACATCAAGATTAAGATTCTGAATATTACGCTTGATGGCACCAATAATCCATGTCTCCAGTTGATATTCGTTGCAGTCCACTAATTGGAGGCTAAAAGTATCTAATCTTTTTGCCTCATGGTGCAAAATGAACCTATGGATGATGGCCGATTGATCTAAAACCATAGTATAATCACGCATACCGAAATCCAAACAGGGGACGTGGGCCCATAGAAACCTCCATCTTCTTCCGAGAACGCTGGTCGCCACTGAGAGCTTTGTTGGGAGGAAAGAGAGAATGTGGCATATGATGCCGTCTGATAAGCTGCTAAGCCTATCGACTGTGGTCATATTTTGATCTCCAGCCGAAATCTTTTGGCACTTTCCACTCGATTGCCTTGATTCGTCCATGTAAATTCAACAGAAAGGTATTCGGGTTTTCACAAGCCCCTAACTTTCACTACTTCAAAGTTCAAACCAAAACCCTGTGTAATTTAAATGGCTTTTATCAATAGTATTCACAGAATAAGAATACAATCAGTAGGGCAAATGGAGAAAAAGGACAAAAAATCTAACCAGCTAACTACACGAAAATCTGAAAAGGCTTCTGTTAGTTAACTATCCAAAATCTTTCGGCACTTTCCACTCCACTGTCTTGATTCCACCATGTAAATTCGATGGCGAGTATCCGGGTTTTCACAAGCTCCTATCTTTCACTACTTCAAACCCACAAAAACCCAGTGTAAATTAAGAGGCTTTTTATCAATAGCAATCACAGGATAAGAATACAATCAATATGGCTAATAGAGAAGAAGGAGATACAAAATCTAACCAGCTAACCACACAAAAATTCGACAAAGGCTACCCAATTAATTTGTAGGGGTAAATTTGTAGAGACCGTGGGTTGGAATATAAGAACTTGCTAAATAAACTTGAAAAAGGTAGCATTTTTGTGTTGTAAAAGGTACAGCTGAAAACTCGATTAGGGCAAAGAGAACCAAACCTGAAACCTCCAATTCCAGCCTAAAGGAAGACTCTTGCGATTCGAGTCCGAATTGGGTTAGGGTTCAGGGTTCGGATAGGGTAGCCTTGGACCACGGCGACTTCCGACGGCGGCTCAGAATGTGATCTGAACAAAGTTAGAGAATATGAGGCAGTAAAAATGACATTTACACTTGGATTTTGCACTGTACGAGTGATTGAGTTCACGTTTCATCGCAGAAGTATGAAGATTACGACTCTGAATGTGAAAAATGATCGTCCGCTTTTGTTCATGTTTGCTACACAATTCTTTTCCCCTAATAATCTCTCGATAGAACGGTTAAAAGTTAAAACCTAATAAATCGTAGTATAATTTACGTACATCGGTTCATTCATCTGGCCACAATTAGATTTGTCAAGCGAAATGAACTACTAAGTTTCGGCTCGTTTAATAAATAAATCAAAATTTAATTGAACTCAGACTTATTAAAATTTAAAAATAATAACTTTTATATAATTTTATAGTAGATTTGTTAAGACTCAGATCATAAATTAATGAGTACAACTCAAGTTTAGTTTTAACTTTTAACTAAAACTTATTTAACTCTCTCACAAGGCTAATGTTTTTTGATATCTTAATGTAAATGGGATTTTTTTAACAATTTATCTCAATTTTTTATCACGCTTTCAAATTAGTGCGTAATTTTATATCCAAAACTCCACATTCGAATAAATCTTTGTCTTAGTACTATTAATTTAATACATTAAAAAATATGTCCTTTCCATTATAAAATTAAAAACACATTATTATTACCTTAACCAAAATAAATAAATAAATAAATAAAATCCTAAAACCCAAGAATTCACACTCCTCGCTTTGCTCACTCTCCTTTTCCTACTGTCCCCTCTCTGTCTTTCCTTTCCTCTCTCTCCTTCGACCTTCCATCTCTTTCAAACAGAGCCAGTTGCCCCTTCTCTATTTTTCTCTCTCAAAACCCTCACACAGAGCAAGCTGTAAAGAAGGCAAAAAAAGAAAAAAAAGAAAAAAAAGGAACTACAATGAGAGGGCCGTTGGGGCCTGTGATAGGTAAGTATCCATCATCAAGTGATGTGAATGGAGTAAATGGGAATGGGAATAATGGCGATATCATAAAGCACAACAGGACGTGCAGAGATTTAGCGTTTCTTGTGATATTCATTGCGTTTTGGGTGGCAATGATTGTTAACTCAAGCTTTGCTTTCAACCAAGGAAACACATTGAGGTAAAAACGGGGATGGAAAAAAATTTGGAAAGTAGCTTGCTTTTGCTTTTTTCGTTTTTCACTTTGTTTTTTTGCAGGGTTCTTGGTTCAGGATTTTTTCTGCTTTAAGCATTTTGCTACTGTGATCTGATGTTTTAGTTATTTTAAGGGGTGGAATTGGTGTGTTTTCCTACTGTTCGAGTTGAGACAAATTGTATCTTTATTTGGGTTTTATTTATGATGTATATTGCCATTTTGGGATGTTGGAGCTCTAGTTTCTGTGTAATGTTAATTGGTGGTGCTGGAAAGTTTACTGAATTCTTGTTGGTTGCGTAAATTTCATATCTTCAATTCTTCCGTGTCTTTCCGAATAATGGGCTACACTAGAGATGTGAAAATTTCCTTTTTTCGGGAAGAAGTCCGTTTTTCTACATTTTCTCTGATGAAACTTGACAAGTCTTGCAAGTTATTAAGGGCTAGTGAATCTAAAGAAAAGATATATTCAAACTGTCAACTGTGTTTAATGTCTATTGACTATTTAAATTTTTGTTTAATGTCTATTCTGTTTCCATTTCTACTAATGTAGAATTATTTCCCGTGTGTTTATGATTTCAAAGGTTAAACTATGGGCTGGACTATGAAGGTAATATATGTGGCGATAGACATGCTGACCGTGATCTCCGTGAATTGGAGTTAAGATATTGGCTGAACCCTAATCAAGTTTACCAAACTGGTGTAAAGGGCAGCAATTTTGAGCTCTCAAATGCTCGGAGCATATGTTTGCTTGATTGTCCGATTCCTTCAGAGGACTCGCTTAATTGGGTATGTGATTATCCAGAGGGAGATGTTCGTGTGTCGATGGATGATTGGATAGATAGAAATTATGATTATTTTGCAGACCTCACTCCTCAGCTTAGGAACAGCTCCCTTCAGCTTCAGGGTCCTTGTTATCCAGTTATATTTCCTAGTGTCAATGGTAAATATTAACAAATTTTTATTTTTTTTTAATATTTTTAGTTGAATTCTTAAAGCACATTGACCTTTTGCATTCGAAATGTAATTTGTAAAGGGAGTTATGTTAGCTATTTTCATGTTGAAACAAAAACTGGTTTCATTTTTTTTTTTTATCTCTGAAGATTTGAATTTTAAAGTTTTTTGTTTAACTTCCACTATCAGTTTATTGGACTTGCCAATTCATTGCACGTGCCTCGAATGTATCTTTGACACTCTGGGAGCAAATGGGTGGAGTGAAAGTCATTGAAGACATTGCAATTGATAAATCCATCCACAAATCGATTAATTCCCGATCATCGGTACTGAAGGTGAGAATGAAGCTCTGAAATTTTCTAAACATGAAAATGAANTCTCCACTTTCTATTTATGACCATTCTTGAAAATGTAAGTATCTTATTCTAGTATATTTTAATCAGTGCTTAGAATTGTACCGTTTTTGACATATCATGAGTGAAACTGAAATCTCAAGGTTGTTAATGGTTTCTGGATGATGAGTGCTCAGAATTAATTTAATTTTCTGCAGAAGTTTGATATTTCCGAGTGGTTTAAAGGTCTGGGCAATTTCATTCACTACTTGTTATCTTTATTATTAATTAAATATCAACTTGCAGAGATATGTGGCTGATGTTGGGAAAGCATGGCCTGTGCTGCTCGTTTGCGGGGGATTTTTGCCGCTGTTTCTATCAATTATATGGCTTTTGATGATTCGTCATTTTGTGGTGGGAATGCCGTGGATTACTGTTGTTGTTTTCAATATTCTCATGGTATCTGTGACAATGTTTTATTATTTGAAAGGTCAGCATACAGTCTCTTGATTTCAGGTTTTTATTTTATCTTTTATTCTTTTATGTGAATCTTATAGAGAAAATTGGATTTGTTAATTTGAAACTGTTAGATGAGTAACCATTGTAATTTGTAAAACAATTTATGGCTCAGGACTCTGAGGATGTTATAAACTACATGAATCTTTTTTTTTTTCCTTTGCTTTCATGTTCATACTTCATATTATATTAATTAGAAAAATCTTCACACCCCTAAAAGAAGTACAAGATTGAGATTCGTGCGGCAGCTCAACTTATATTGTCCATTTGTTTAGCTTTCTTTGGTGATATTTT